GGAAAAGCAAAGGTGAGCGTGACTGGATTGCCTAATAGAGGTGGTGCTGATCAGCCACAAGTTCAAAAAGGGCAATATTAATTACTATTCCACGTGGCACTGTGCCTGTGTGGCGCAAAGGCGAGTCTTTTGAATATTCGCTTCATTATTGACACCTGTCCATGCTACCAATCAACTTTGGTGCATGACAACAAGTCGGTAGGGCCCTGGAGCTCTACGCAATGCACCAAGGTGGCGGGTCCACCAAACAAACCACCACATCCCAGAGGCGCCCTGGGTCATCAAACCAACATCAAAATCACTCTCACGGGTTCCAGCCGTTCGGGCTGCAACCAGGTCGGGGTGCCCCTATGGATATAGGCGCGGTCCAGGGCGGACAGACGCGCAGATTTACCTGCTACAACTGTGGGCAGGAGGGGCACATAGCCCAAAAGTGTCCAAATGGAGCGCAGGCCGCTCAACAAAAAAATAACCAAGGGCGCCAGGCGCGCCAACTAGAAACCGAAAAACCGGATGATCGGCTCAACTCATTGGCCGGTCGTTCTTACAACGAAATCCGGGCTTTCTTCTACGACCAGCAGGTCAACGAAATGAAGGCCCAGGGAAATGAAGGCCCAGGGAAAAGAATTTGGGGCTTAGGTCACTTGGGTGCCTTAGCTCCACCTCAAAATGAAGTAAACCACAACAAGGTGGCCCCTGCTCCGGGGTGTTGCACGAGCAATAACAGAATGACGGGGATGGCTCCCCAATTTGTAAATAAATTCTTAAATTTGTTATCTGAAGCTTGTACTTGTATGAAGAAATGTAACTGTAATATTTATGATACTACCGCTGCACCAGCGTCTCCCTCGGAGTGTGGCCCCGGCGAGACAAACACTAGGGTGCTTGATTCTGGTAAAACAAAAATAGAAAAACATGTATCATTTGAGATTTCTCCTCCTTCTTCTCCTTCTACTTCTTCAGAGCCACCCTTTCCTGAAATCCCAAGGCGTGTGTTGATGCGCACGTATTTATTCCAAAAGGAGATCCGTTTAGACGTTGGTGTGGAAAACCTTGCCAGGGGCAAAGTACACTCAACGAACGCCTTGCTTGATTCAGGCGCCAACGGGATCTTCATAGATCAGGTCTGGGCGGAGCAAATTGGACTCCCCCTTGTAAAATTAGAAGCATCTATTCCCATCTATAACGTTGACGGTACGCTTAACGCAGGTGGCTGTATCACACACAAATGTTCTTTTGTGGTCGAATACCAAGGACACAGAGAACGAGTCACTGCCAAAGCTACCCAACTAGGGAAGATTAATGTAATCTTGGGCTGGACCTAACTATTTAAACATAATCCTGAGATTGACTGGCAGACAGGGGTTGTCACATTGTCACGTTGTCCACAGGAATGTGTAAACTTGGGTAAACCGAATCATGTCCGTCACGATGAGCGTCTCGAAAAGTTAAACGCTAGTCACGTTTACGAGCTCAGATCTTTAGATAAGATCGATGATGACGATGATGAGGTGAAGCCTGAGGAAGAGATTAAGAGGCTGGTACCTCCCGACTACCATGACTTCTGGAAAGTCTTTTCTGAACACAAATCAGAGCGCTTCCCAGAGGCTAAGCCTTGGGACCATGCTATAGATTTGAAAGACACCTTCAAACCAAGAAAGGGACACATGATACCGCTCTCTGCTCCCGAAAGAGACGAGGTATCTAGTTTCATAGACGAACAACTTAGGAAGGGTTACATCAGACCTTCCAAAAGTCCTATGACGTCCCCGGTGTTCTTCATTCCTAAAAAGGATGGTAAGAAGCGAATGATTATGGACTATCGTTACGTGAATGAGCACACAGTTAAAAATGCATATCCGCTGCCTTTAATTAGTCAGCTAGTGGACAAATTAGCTGGCGCCAAGATCCTGACAAAGATGGATCTCAGATGGGGGTACAACAATGTACGAATCAAAGAGGAAGATGCTTGGAAGGCCGCGTTCACGTGCCACCGAGGATCTTTCGAACCCCTTGTTATGTTCTTTGGGTTGACCAATTCACCGGCGACCTTCCAGAGCATGATGAACGAGACCTTTGCGGATATGGAGAACTGTGTCGTCATTTACATTGACGATTTGTTAATATTTACGAAGTCGGACGATGAGGCTGAGCACGACAAGATCGTGCAAGAAGTCCTTCGACGCTTACAGGAACGGGACCTATTCGTCAAACCCGAAAAGTGTAATTTTAAAGTGAAGGAAGTGGACTTCCTCGGTATGATTATAGGCCAGAACGGAATCAGGATGAATCCTGAGAAAGTTCAAGCTATTTTGGAATGGCCAGAACCTACTCGCGTCAAAGGAGTTAGGGCCTTCCATGGCTTAGGTAATTTCTACCGAAGGTTTATCGAAGACTTCGCGAAAATCACGAGACCGTTGAACGATCTCACCAAAAAGGACCTTGTTTGGCATTGGGGCGCCAAAGAACAAGAAGCTTTTGATAAGCTTAAACAGGCATTTACAACAGCCCCTATATTGGCATTTCCTGAGTTAGACAAAGAGTTCCGGCTAGAAACCGACTCTTCTGACTTCGCCACTGGGGCTGTTCTATCAATCAAATGCCCTGACGATCTTTGGAAACCTTGTGCCTATCTATCGCATAGTTTGTCGCCTACAGAGCGCAACTATCAAATTTACGACAAGGAGATGCTGGCCATCATTAGAGCTTTAGAGCACTGGCGGCACTACCTAGAAGGTGCTAGACACCAATTCGAAATTTGGACCGATCATAAGAACCTAGAGTACTTCATGACGGCCCGAGATCTGAACCGAAGACAGGCCCGCTACGCGGTGTACTTGTCGAGGTTTAACTATAAATTAATTCATAAGCCGGGAAGCTCAATGGGGAAAGCGGACACTTTATCTAGAAGAGAGGATCATGCCAACGGCATTGAAGATGACAACAAAGGTGTCACCCTGATAGATCAATCAAGGGTTGCCAATGTTAGAATCGGGCAAGATTCCGACCTCCTGGAAGTCTTCAAGAAAGACATCTCCCCAGAGGAAAAGGCGTGCCTTGACGGCAATAAAAACTATTTATGGAAAGACGGGATCTTTCATTTTAAAAACAAAATCTATGTGCCTGAGTCCGTAAGGATCAAGGCCATAGATAGACATCACAACACTCCAGTGGCTGGGCACCCTGGATGGCAACGAACAATGGAGTTGATCTCCAGAAACTACATGTGGCCTGGCATGGTCAAAGACGTACAGGAGTATGTAAAATCCTGTTTGAGATGTGCCATGGCCAAGAATTCCCATCAACCGCCGGCCGGTAAACTCATGCCAAACCCGATACCAGCTGGTCCCTGGCAGGATATATTGGTGGACTTCACAACGGATCTGCCCGAGTCAAACGGGTACGATTCAGTAATGGTGGTGGTAGATCGCTTCTCAAAAGAAGTGGTATTCATACCCACCATTAAAACTATTACCGCCGCCGGTACGGCAGACCTATTTAAAGATTTTGTATGGTCCATCCATGGGTTACCAGAAACGGTGATCTCCGATAGAGGACCGCAATTTGCTAGCGAATTTACGAAAGAATTATGCCGGATGCTGGGCATCAAACCTAAATTATTGATGGTGTTCCATCTGCAAACTGATGGACAAACGGAGAGACTCAACCAGGAGTTGAAACAATATCTCCGGATATTTATTAACGACAGACAGACGGATTGGGCCAAGTGGCTAAAGATAGCCCAGTTCTCTTATAATATTAAACAGTCGTCGGCTACAGGAAAGGCACCATTCGAGGTTACTAGATCGTACCTCCCTAGAATGGGTGTAGAACCTGGCAAAAGCAAGAACGAGGCTGCTGAGAACATGGCAAAAGACATGAAGTCTGTCCTAGACGAAACGCGCAAGGCGCTATTTAGAACTGCAGAGCAGATGAAAGACAGGGCAGAGCGTAGACGCTCTAAGGCCCCTGACTACAAGGTCGGCGACCTGGTCTGGTTAGATACCGACCATTTAAAATTAAAAGACCGGCAGTCTAGAAAACTGACCAAAAAGTGGATTGGCCCTTACCGGATTAAGGAAGTCAAACCTAATGCGGTGGAGCTGGAACTCCCAAAACGAATGAGGGTGGTACCCACGGTTAACATTAGCCGTGTAAAACCCTACAAGGGACCGCTGCCGGGACAGCGTGTAGACCGGCCCGGCCCGGTAGTAGTCACCCAGGAAGGCGAAGAAGAGTTCGAAGTCGAACGGGTGGTAGATGCACGCTTGAAGCGTGGAAAATTAGAGTTCCTGGTCCTATGGAAGGGCTATGGAGACGAAGACAGAATGTGGGAACCAGAATCCCATCTGGAAAACTCTCGCGACGCTGTCCGCGAATTTTATTCTAAGAATCCCTCAGCTCCTAGGAAGCTTAGAGGCATGGATTCAAAACTTTTTAATTCCCTCTTTCAACCTATGCCCGAAAATTTTACTACTACCTCCGGTATTTGGTCGAGCCTGGAAGTCGAGCCTTAAAAGGGGGGTAGTGTTACGATAACACAATTTCCGGACATCTCCTTTTCTTTTTATTCTCCGCTTTAACTTTATACCTTAAATTGCCACGCGGCATTTCCCTTTCTCGCGCCGCGTTGCCTTCCTTTTATTTTTAGAGTTAACTCTCTCACGCAGTGGAGCTGGCCATACGGGCTAGGCCCTATGACATTATCAAGCCACTGCTTCCATCAACTGTATAGTACACATGTACAAACAACCTGTAGTAGTATATATACCCCAATAGATCCAGGAGACTCCTCAGCGAGTCCTCCTGTTGTATACCAACTAACTCACTGCAGCCTTAGGGGTAACCACTCCCCATCTTCATAATCTTTATAGTGTGTTCGGTGTGCGCCGGAGTAGATCACTCTTGGTTGTTACAAGGGGAGTGAAGGAAACGACAAAAGCGAGGGCGCAATGCAATGTGTAGCCAGTGGCAACGCGAAAATTTGCCAAAATGCCAAAATGCCGAAAGTACCAAATGGAAAAGCAAAGGTGAGCATGACTGAATTGCCTAATAGAGGTGGTGCTGATCAGCCACAGATTTGAAAAAGGCAATATTAATTACTATTCCACGTGGCACTGTGCCTGTGTGGCACACCAATGTGCAGAACTGGGGTATCTACAGCGTCACTCCAGGATCAGTTGCTTGGGCTGCAGTTATTGTAAGTTTAATCACAAAATCATAGAAATAGTCTCACTCTCTCCGGATATGGATACATTGACAGATTCAGACACTCAGAGTGTTGCTGTGGCCGAGAATCCAGGGCCTTCAGTTGCTCAATCTGGACCTGCCGTTGCTCCTGGCCTGGTAGACGCAGAAGTTGAGGTTTCAGAAGTTTCATTGAGTGCTAATGTGCGAGGGAAAAGAGGAAGGAAAGTTACTGGTACTTCTGGATATCAATGTGCTACTACAAGATCTCAAAAGTAGCTTATATTTCTCTTTGTCTTTAGTACAGTTGGTTAACATGTTCCATTCACATATTGAGCCAGCGTAGCACCCCACACTAAAGCATTGAAAGTCGGCACACACAAATGAGTGCATACTGCAGTGACCTGACAATGGCATATATTTGTGTATCATATTGAAGCATAATGATATAGTCAATACGGTAGAATAGTGTAGTGGTTATTATGCTCCAATTTGGTAGTAATGTGTAACTGTAATAAAGTACAAGGCCCTTAGTTCGAATCCTGGTAATGTAAGTCAAATAAATGTAATAATGATTAGAATTGTATCTCAGTGATAAGGATTCTGTGATAATGATAAGAGTTTCCTGATAATGATAAGAATTCCTCAATAATGATTACAAGTTTCCTGATAACAATTATACAAATCATTAATAACAACCACTAGTCCATTGTAAAGATAAAGGTTCATTTGATAATGCATTTTTCTAATTACAATTTGAGCCTGGCCTGGTAATGACATTGTAGCGCTCATGGCAATTGGCATTGCAAACTGAAATTGTAATGGCCTTTACATAGCAACTCTTTCATTGTATATTTCAAGCAATGACTGATATTTAGGCATTTCAGTGGCTGGCAAGGCATCTAAATAATATTTAATATTTTCTGACATTTTATGCAGGTGTTCAGACATGTCCACAAATACAAGAGTATGTACAAATGTGACAGTGATGCTATGCAAGCCTATAGATATGGTTTGAGATATACTACAGTTCTTTTGGCTGAGCCAAATTAGACCAGTGCTTGAATGTTTTAATTTTGCTTCGCTCATCTATTTTGCTCAGCATTTCTTGCAGCTTCACTTTGAGCTTCTGACCATGTTCAGCAATGCGAAGAAGAACTACAGAAAACTCGTAAACTTGGAGCGGGTCTGATATGTCATATAACTGGAGGTTCCGCTCCATTAAAAAAATTTTCTATGGTGAGGGATGGTAAGATGTCAATGAGCATATCAATGAACATACTTACTTGTTGCTTGGACGAGTACCAAGCCATTGATACTGCTCCTTCAGACCCAGAGGTGACTAGGCCAAAAAGCGGAAAATCAACGATCCCCAAGGATCTCAGAAAATACAGTGCTGAAACCGTATACATTCGAGACTGGTTCAAAGCCTTGAATGTCGTAGTAACATCTTTTTTCTTGTACTCCGCGGTAAGGACTGGCAATAATAAATCATTGTCTATTTCCCCGTCCTGGGCTGCCTGAAGCTGAACGACATCTTTCGACAGGGTTTCCGAGGACTCGGAGGGTGGTCTCGGAACAGTTGCCGTGAAGACATTGTGCAAGGAGGGATAGGAAGTTGATTTGCTGTTGTCCGTGACCGACGACGGCTGAGGCTCAACGGTCAGATGTCGAGCTGAGTCCGAGTTTGCTGATTTCAATTCAAGTTTAGCAGGAGCTCTACGACTCAGCTATTTTTTCTCACCTCTGTCGTCCTTCCCAGTCCCAGATGCCGACTTTTCCGCACCAGGATGTGCTATCAAAGCAAGATTTTTCACGAACTTCCTGCCGTCGGACTTGCCAAGGATTTTAACGATTTCAGCGCAGACGCCTTCAAGGGGTACGACTAGAATTGCATCGCATACTCCACGTGTTGGTTCTTGGTTGGTGCGACGTTCGAGGGCATCGAGCAAGCGGGCCTCTATATCACCCTTGACTTGCTCGACAAATGAAGCAGACTGGTTAAGCGCCTGAAGAGCTTGAGAAACGACGTCTTCATTTTGCCCTTGAGCGCTGAAGTATGCCAAGCTGCAATGTAATGCATATTGACTTGCTAGCGCAGAGCGCTCTCGCACGTGATCAGCAGCAGAAGTCCTCATCGCGTCAAGGGCTATATTTCGAGGTGCATTTAAAAAACGTTCCAGCCTAAGTAAACGGTTAGATATGCTTTAGGGCGCGTTGCCTAGTACTTACAACACATCACGGTTTGTGCTACCAGTGTACTTCGAGGTCGTGAAAAATTTGAGTAACAGATTGTCCCAATCATGGCGGCGTTCAGCTTCATTAGAATTACGTTTCGCCGCTGCAAGAGCTCGAGTATATGCACCATCGGAAGATGACAACATAGAGGAGAACCGACTGCAGAGGAGTTCCACGATTTTGGTCTCCAGGTTTGGAACCTCGTTGCCAGCCTGGACATAGTTATTATAATTTTGAAAAAGCATTCTACGATGCCCTTCAATGCTAAGGTCTGATCCAGGTAGGTCACTCTGCCTTGACGTGAGTATATAAGACGTGGCACTTAGGTCGAGGAAACTAACCAATGTTTTCCAGCTGCTTGGCCAGCAAAATTTAGTCGTTTCGTCGTAAAATTTTATTTTTTCGTTAATATCTTTGTGTTCCGATTCAGGGTCTTGAGCAAGATCTGCTAACAAGATTCTACCGATCGTGAATGCTCTTCTATCAAAAAGCCAATTCGTGATCGATAATTCTTCATCTAAGCCATTCTCACTCTTCATCGCAAAACTAGCCCAGCTGTCAGTCATGATTGAACACATTTAATATATATGCTCTCACCTAGAGTTTGATACATTTGTTTTCGACTTTTTGCTTGCGGAGTACTTGTCGACAGAAAGCTGATTTTCGGCGGGGCTTCTATCTCTAAATATTGTAAGTCACGATTCAACACATGATGTATATGCTCTCACTTCGATAAAATTTTTGTCGACTTTTTGCTTACAGAGTGCTTTGCAACGGAAGATTGACTTGCAGAAAAGCTTTTATCGCTGAATATCAATTTACTATATCATTTCCATCACTACGCTCAAAACTTGCCATGCTCACCTGCTCACTTTGTGGTCACTTTGAGTACCATCATGTTTGACACTGCTGCGAAGAGATTTGGAGCCTCTGGGTTCATCGTGTCCTTCCTCGTGAATAGTATGCAGATTTCTCGAAGACATAGTTGGGGACCAGCAGCTAGGCTGAGAACGTGTAGTGTGTAATGGTGGGGTACGGGGAGGAGAAGAGGAAGTATCGCTGCTTTAAAAAGAAATAAATAAGGATGCATGCCCTACAACTACAAAACTGAAAATAGTAGGAACCTCGCGCATGTGGACACGTGTACGTCGCATGCCCACCTTGAAACTCGCTCCTTCCATTGTTCTCCTGATTCAGAGGAGATATCGATGAGATCTGATCTCCAGTGCAGGGAAGGATCCGCATCGACAGACGTTACTGATGTGGCGTTGATAAGGTCCTTGAAATACGACGATAATCCAAGCACAAATTGGGCCAATGTCATGGCGGCCACTGGGTCGGTTAAATCGAATATGCCTAATGACGCCTTAGGCTGAGAGTTTGGGCTGGCACATGCGATATGGACCCCAGGCTAGAGAAGGGTTCAGTCGAGTCATAGAAGAGAGAAGAAGAGCTTACCAAATCTCCGCTCGTCCCAGAATCGTGATCCAGCCAACCAAATAAGACTTGGCCAACAGTTCCAGTCCCTTGGAAAATAATTCCGATAACTGGTTGGTCGATGTGCCAAACACGACGTTGGTAAAGCATACTTGACATGAGAGGGATGATATTATATTCGTCAGCAACCGCAATAATCGGGAGGACGGCGGAGAGATGGCGACCGCGTGTGGGAAGAAGATGGGCGTGGATAGGAAACTTCAAAGAATGATTCTTTGAGCTACTCGTGTTTGCCTTCCTCTTCTTCGTAATTTCGCCGTTATCCCCATAGTTTTCGTCTCGTACATGAGAAGAATTGTCATCGCTAGAAGAGCTCGTACAGCTGTCTTGTGAGGAGTGACATGCTGAGCCAGTGTCTTGATCTTCATCCGCTCGATCGACATAGTGGGCTATAATAAGTGATGCAAAGCCGTCGGTGATTGGACCACTGGAGGAAACATCCTGCGAATGAGGCGCGCGTGGCCTGACAAAATATTCATCTTCACTAAAAATTGAAAATAAATCCGCGCGTCAAGTTATCAGAAATATGCAAACTTCAAAAGAAAGAGAAAAGATCATTACAGTATCGATATGTGTTCCGAGCAATGGAGAAATAGATGCTTAAGCATTGTGATCCAAATTGGAATGGTAGGGCGAGGACAACCGTATGCAACGCTGCCACTGAGGGCGCGTAAATCAGACGAGGCCGTCATGACCAAGTCAAACACGACTTTCAAAGACGTAGAGCCGCCAGAATCATAATTCTCGGTCGTTACTATATGATCAGTTGAGTATCCAGATAGAAGATCTATAGAATCAGAGGCACAAGGGGACGTGAAAGGGTATGGACCGGTGGCAAGCCAAGATGGGAGTGGCTGAGAAAGTAAGTCTGCGAGCTTCGCTACAGGAGGAGGCCAGTCATAAATATCTTCAAGCTCGTGAATCACTGTCGTCGCATCCATGGAGTAGAAGGTTATAGCGGTGGAATATGATGGGTTAAGCCCGTGACCTGTTGCGATTGTTCCACTCGAGGCCTCTTGAATCGTGTAATGCCAGTGACTTTGGGTACTGGAGTTGTTCGAGAAAAGTGGTAGTCTTTAACGTGATTTACAGTATGCAGCAAACCAGATAAAGCCCACCTTGTCAGCTGCACGGAACCAAATATGCGTAACGAGTTCGACTCGGAACATTTATCTTGAACCTGGCATTGTGTTCCCAATTCGGAAGGTCTGGTCCACAACGGGCAGCCACCGGCCAATCCCATTGTCGAGCACGAGGTCCAACTCCGCCATTCCAAGGGAGTCAAGAGGAGTCACCGTTTGTGGGGGTGGGCAGGCTCCGCCAAAAGTGTGTGATGCTTACCTAATATTCCCATCCCTCAAGGTCGCGCTATGAAATGACACAGGGAGTAGTTTCGAGCAAGCTGCGTGATATAAGGTGTATTAAGCTCGGAATGTACACATAGCAAGTAGGTATTTGTATTTGTACTGCATCAGAAAAAGAGACAGAACACAAGAACACATTTCCATGCAAGTCATTCCAATTCCAGGATCTGATCAAGCCATGTGGCAGACTACTCCACATTACTAGTTGACGTCAAGATGGTAAATGTAGAAATGTAGGCCTTTCTGTTCAAGCCTTATAATGCATACTAATAGCCATTTGAACAGGCAATTCAATAAAGGCTATTTAAACTAATAAAACTAAGTGAAACTCAGCCGCTGCCCGAGAGGCTATAGAAATGACTTTATTATCTACCTAAGTGAAACTACAATAGATGTTAGTTTAAGGTGATCTCTAATAAATGTAATGTAACATACCTCAGCCGCTGCCCGAGAGGCTATAGAAACGACTGAGGTATTCCTATACTAAACCCCCTACTACTTATAGCCGGAGGTGCTACTCGCTACAGTATAATGACTCCTAGGAGAACAATGGTTACTCCATGGAGTGGTGGCTATGCTCCATGGAGAACAATGGCTGCTTTGGCAGAGACCGGGTTTATCCAGTTTTGTCATAAACATTATATTCCATTACAATACAACGGGGTGTATTTAATGGTACTTAATAAATGACAAGTCATTACAAGAAAGCATGGCCAACAAAATCTGAAAACAGAAAAGCGTACAAGAAATTTTACAAGCATGCAAAGTCCAACAACTGAACTAATCAGACTTGGACTGAGTCCAAATAGGAAAGTGGGGTAGTTTGAGAAACTTGACAAGCTGATGTGCGAGTTTGTGTGATTGGTTTTGGCTTGGGTCTTGTAGAGTTCTTCTTGCCGGTTGGTGTTTTGGTGGTTGTTTTAGTGACTTGGACCTGCTTCTGAACACAATTTGTGGGAATAGTGGGTTGAGTGGTTGCCTGAACAGAGGTCATACTCGTCAAGACTGGTAAGCTGTCCTGGGGAGCAGACTCGGAGATCAATGTTGCAATGTTACTCGGACCAGAAAAATCTTTGGTTTGTGCATTGCCTTCTGTGTTTACATGGGCCTTAGCAAGTTGACGGGCGGCACATTTGGCCCTTATTTTAGCAAGATCAGTGTTGGTATCGTCTGTGATAGTAGGTTTTGTCGACATTCTCTTCCCATATACTTGTCTTTAATAAATTAGCCAAATAACCAATAATAATAATAATAAAAACTGACTCTGTAAGCCATGACAATATCTCCACAGCCCATTCGTCATCCGGGTCGCTGAGAGTTTCAATGATAATGTTAAAATATTCCTCCAGCTGAAACAATCCAATTGTTGTCTGGAAAGACTGACAGCTGTTCAGTGAAAACCATCCCTTGAAATAATACCATTACAATTAAATTGAAATAAAATAAAGTAAAACACTTACACTACATAAAGACCATGCCCAGCTCTCTGGTGTGACTTCGGTAAGACCAAAGATTTTACTTTTTGGACGGTTTGCCACCACTACGTATGGTGCTATTGTTTATTCCCTCAGATCCAACCAATGAAGGCCCAAGGTAAATATGTTTATAAATCTAGATAATAATAAGCAGCAAGTTAAATAGTAAAACAAAAACCTACATGTATACTAAAGTGACTTCTAAACAAACTATCAAGTGGATCTTGCTCATTGTAAATTGCACCATCTGTGTAGAGCATTGTTGGCCAGTTTGCTGCTATAACCAGCCATGTGCCATCCTGTAATCTCATCATACCACTAAAAGAATCTGATATTTTCAAAGAAAAACATGTGAGACAATAGACTTACGCTTGAGGATCCTCACCAAAAAGCTCAACCCATTTCATAGGACACAGTGCACGTGCAAGTTGAGGATGGTTGAGACCCCGGTTTGCCTTGCTTGATTGCCTGGGAATTGGAGGCTGTAGTGTATTAGATTCACAATCTAAAATAATATATTCCAGGACACAATTCTTGATGGACGCAAGATTGTCAGATCACATGGAACTCATCCCTTGATGAATCTAAAAATTATGTGAGTATCGGTAGGCATTTATAGATGCATATAGTCACTCACCGCACCCAAACGAGCTGATAAATCCTTGTACACCATATTTTAAGCATTAAAACTAGGGATAAATCCCACTACTATATCATAAAACTTGAGATATCGGCTTAAACTAGGGTCTTTGTGACTGTAAATAAAACTAGAATAATTCAAAGAAATTCTGATATAATTACACTTCAGCCGCAGAGATAATTCCTTTTTTGATTGCTACTGCTTCATGGAATGCAATCACAGGACTCACGAATGTGTCCACTAAAACTACAGCCTTCTTGCCTGCCATACAAAACTCATACAGTGGGTCTTGTGATCTAATATTATTAGGTGCAGCGTATATAGCCAGTATTTGAATTCCTATTCAAACTAACTTACCTCCATTTTTTTAAATGGCCAGATGTTGTGATTGCTTTGAGAAGCTCAGAATCATCTCCTGGGCGCTTTGCTAGGTGTGGTGAACTGAGTGGGGAAGTTAGTGCTGAATTAATGGGCGACAACATGATGGTTGGTATGTAAGGATATGTCTAAATCTAGAGTTCGGACATAATACCAATCAACAAACCGGCCCGGGGAAACAGCAAGCTGCAATCAGTACATTTTCTGTTTATCCCAATCACAGACAGAGATATGCATATATCTCTATTCATTGTTATTCTGTTCATGTCTCTAATATGTCCAGGATGTCAATTTCAAGCTAAAAACTACCGAGGACTCACAGTACATCAAAAATAATGGTGCAAGACCCTTGAACCATCGACAACTGCTATTATTGAAGCACAAAACCACATTTCTGAGATAAATAAAGATCAAGGTGAACAAAGTGGAACAGGAACTGTGGAAGAAGTTGAGGATAATATTGAGGAGGTAGAAAAGATGGTTGTAGATGACCACCTTGTTACAGAAGTAAGTAACCAGCTTATGATTTGATTCAGTACTCAGCCATATTTGCAGAATATTGAATCTCCTATACAAGAAGAACCAGTTTTACAACAATCAGGTCTACCAAATCGGACAAGAAGACTACCTAAACAATATTGAGACAAACTTCCTCCAATTCCTCCTCTTGTACTTCCTGTTCAGCCACAGATTTTGCAAGACCATCCTTTGACCCCAAATTCCATAATAAATTCTAATGCTACATCCTTAGATGATGACATACAGCTCATTTGAACTGAAAAGGATCAGTATGAAGTATTTTGAGTATATAAAGGGCAACTACCATCATATGATCCTAACAGTAAAATCTTGTATGATCAACCATGTGACTCTGCTAATTTTAAATATGTCAACAACCCTGAACTGGCCATGGTACTCCATATTTGGAACATCCCTCGACTCAATACATAAATATTTCTTCGCACCTTTCCTCAATGCTACAACATTTTGCTTGATGAATTGGTTTTATAACTTGTCAGTCACCAAATCTTTAGCTGACTTGGACAGACTCGTACAAGATGTTATCCTGGCTGAAGATTTCAATACCAAGGACCTGAAAAAATTCTCGGCAATTCATGAAGCTCAGAGGATGGATCAAAGTGACAGCATCCTACCAGACATTTTCTAAGCTGACAAGGGGCATGAAGCCTCAGTCAAAATCAAATTACCTGCTGAAAAAATTACCTTTGAATCAGAAAACGATGCACCTGAACTGGAAATTCCTGGAGTTTACTATTAAAAGCCACTTGATGTGCTGAAAGCAGCATTCAAAGAAACATCGGCACAATCCTTCCACATGACACCATACAAATTGTACTGGCAGCCCAACAAAGATGGACCACCCGAACGCATAATATCAGAGTTGTATACATCTGATGCAATGATTAATGAGCATGAGGCCATCAAGTCTCAGGCACACGCAGATGATTGCAAACTGGAAACTGTTGTAGCTGCAATTATACTTTGGTCTGATTCAACTCATCTTGCTAGCTTGGGAAATGCATTATTATGGCCTATTTACTTGTTCCTTGGCAACCAATCAAAATATACAAGGAACAAACTGTCAGCTTTTGCAGCTCATCACCTTGCCTATATCCCCAAAGTTTGTCTTTTGGTTGTCAATTTTTCACTTATGCTAACAATAACTGCTTCTAGCTTCCTGATTACTTTCAAGAAGTCTATTGGGCACTTTTTTAGCAAAATGGCTACAGGAGAAACAATGACACATTGGAAGCAAGAGTTGATGCATGCAATATGGTCTCTGCTCCTTGACGATGAATTTTTAGATGCCTATGAGCATGGCATAGTTATTAAGTTTGCAGATGGAATTTTATGAAGGGTATTTCCTTGTTTGTTCACTTATGCAGTTGTTTACCCGGAGAAGTATACTATATTTGCTTAATTTATATTATATCAGCTCTAATTATTGTTCTATAGGGTTCTTTTATTATGTATCAAGTTCCTCGGGCGTTGTCCTTGTCTATGCTGTCTCATTTCAAAAGACAAGATATCAAAGCTTGGTTCAAAGTTAGACTGACTGCCACATGAACAAGACATTCGGATTGATGGGAGCATACTACAAACCATGATTGAAAAGGCTCAAATGCGGATATTTGTAAAAGGTTGAAGTGTTGCGAGCAAAGTCATAGATGCATTCTTGGGTGTTACATCTGTAGTTCCTACTTGAGTAAGCCTACATCAGGAAAAATTATTTTGCTATATAGCTGGGTATGTTTCTATAGCTGCTATGATAGCTATTAAATTCCTATTATAGCCAATAAATTTCTATGTGAAGCCTTATAGTTACTATGTCAGCTATACCAGCTATACCAGCTCATTTATGTCTATGAGAACCTTTTTCTGATACTAATAATGATAGAATTAATATTCACCAAATAGTTTGGTGCATACAAACTAGCCCAATTATTTAATAGAAATCTATCACAAACATCCAAAGCATTTTCTGTACCCCAGTGAGCAGGCACTTGATCTTTTCCAAACAAAGGCAACAAGTGGCAGCCTTGTCGTATACTGCTCAATGGTACTATGGAAGCTGGTGGAGTACCATCAGCTCTAAGTGCAGGTTTTGTAATTGCATACATCATATATGCTGGATCTGCACTACCTTTCAACTTGGTGTACCATTCAATGTACGCCAATGGAATTTTGGGCCAATGTTTTGGTATACCAACAAAACCACCATGAAAAATGGCAGGGAGCTTGAATATTACTTTAACTCTTCCAACATGTGTACCTATGTCATGAAATATTAATTCACAACTTGAAACTGATCATGAAATTAGAGGAAAATATTACCAGCAACACCTGTTGACTCTGCTTCTAATGAGTCTAATACGACAACATTATCAAACTGTGGAGCAATTTCTTTGGACCTAGGTCTTGCTTTGATGACTTTGTACTTTATGTTACGCACGAAGTGCTTAACAAAGTCTGAGGGTTCGTCGGGGTTTATAAAGAGACTTATCAGAAGACAAGTTTGGGAACGTAGTTCTGAGTGGAGGTCTTCCAACGAGAGTTGGTCTTCTTCTGAGTAGAAGTCTGATCTTAGGAGTCTAGCTTTGTAAGCGTAAACTGCGTAGAATTGTATTGGAGTATACTACTGCTGTTACATGGTATTTATAATGGAAAGGAATCGGTGATAGGAGTTAGGTCCTATCTAGGGCAGGTCCGTCCGTTGAGGACTAAGTACTATAATAGGTACTGCGAATGCGAGAGGAACGGAAGTATACGTGAAGGAAATGAGTCATCGGTCCGATGGTATAACCGATGAGTAAAAAGAAATGAGTAGTCCTTAAATGTCCAATAGAGATTGTAACATTACCCCCTTACTTGCTCCGAGTTTCACCGAAATTTGGTACCTTCGCCATCCATATTGTAACTGTCATCGTAGCTGACATCTCCATGTAATCCTTCCATCAGAATCCTATCCTCGTCTTCCCTGCGGATGGGACACCAATTGAAACTATGTCCCGGTGCACGACGGTCACAGTCGGGACAATAGTAGGCTTCGCAATAGTATGTGCGATGATCGCTCCAACCGCAGTTTTGGCAGTATGGAGCGTTGTTACGAACACCTTCATGGTATCTTCGTCGGGTGTTGGATGAGGTGTCAGATTGGGGAGTGGTTGGATTGTCATCTCCCAGGTTGTACGTTCCTGCGTACAACTGATCAATCATGGCTGCGTTGTCATCTACGTTGATTGGGTTGGAGGGAGAGCCAGTCTCAGGCCTGTGCATTGCGCCAGGTGGACTGTCTTTCTGTCCCTTTGACATACAAGACTGCCGTTTTGATGGAGTTCTGGCGGCGGGGATCTGGAGTATCACCTCTTGCCGGCCGCGTTGGGCTCCTCGTCGGTTTGTCAGGCGACGAGTTTGGGCGTTTGGCACTGGTCGAGGTGGAGATGATGGGGGAGACGGTGGTTTTGGGTTCAACCCAATGGAACAGGGACTGGAGTGGTTCGACTCTTGTGAGATTGGGCTGGTTGGGACGGTGGGAATATATTTTTCCTGCGATGGGATGGGCGTAGGTCGACGGGTGATGATATGGTAAGTGCGCTCCGGGGTAACACTGGTCTGGTCTGGGTGCGACAGGGACCGGAGGGACAAACCGGGTGGAGGAGTACTCGTACAACCGTCTCGCTCTATCCGCGTGCGAGATTCATTTAGCAATGTCCTCCTGCCTGATTCCAAATATTCCTTTGCCGAGTCCACCTGCCCATTCGAGGAGCTCATCCTCAAGCGTTGTTCCAAAGATTCCAAAACTAACTTTTCCATCCGGAGTGCCCAACAGATACTCAAGTCCTGACTGTTGAGCCGCGAATGCTCGCTTTCCAACGAATGTATTGAGTCTATGGCTTTTAGGAGTTTGTCAGCTATGAGGTCTATGGCAAGGAAGGTATGCATGGAAGAAAGAGCGTGATACGCATGGGGGCAGCATTTTTTGGTCTCGTAAAAGAGATAGGTATAGGCGTCTTTTGCTGACATTAATTCTATGGCGTCAGTGATGTCGGCTTGGTTGTGTCGTTGCCCACGGGTGAAAGACACTCGTTCGTCGGCTAGCAAGTTGGTGTTGCCGGGTATTGAGTAGGTGGTGATAGGGAAGCCGGTGGAGTTAGAAGTAGACATGTTTTGTGTTGAGAGACAGAGGATTGTTGGTAGTGGGGTGATTGTCTCTTCAACGCAGCTTGTGGTCCTTCTTATAGGCTTCTAGTATCTCCGCAGCATTGGTTAAATGTTCTTCCGTTTCCCATGAGTTTTCAGAATGAGGGTAATGGCGCCATTTAATCAGGTAGTGGTGTCCGCGTTTCCAGGGTTTGTGTCTAAGAATACTTTCTACTTTGTATTCCTCTTCTTTGTTGACCAGGTCAGGTGGTGGCCGGATAAAGTTCAGGCCATTGTCATGCACCAAAGTTGATTGGTAGCATGGACAGGTGTCAATAACGAAGTGAATATTCAAAAAGACTCGCCTTTGCGCCACACAGGCACCGTGCCACGTGGAATAGTAATCAATATTGCCTGTTTCAAACTTGTGGCTGATCAGCACCACCTCTATTAGGCAATCCAGTCACGCTGACCTTTGCTTTTCCATTCGGTACTTTTGGCATTTTGGCATTTTGGCAAATTTTCGCGTTGCCACTGGCTGTAACAACCAAGAGTGATCTACTCCGGCGCACACAGAACACACTTATAGAGATTATGAAGATGGGGAGTGGTTACCCCTTGAGCTGCAGTGAGTTAGTTGGTATACAACAGGAGGACTCGCTGAGGAGTCTCCTGGATCTATTGGGGTATATATACTACTACAGGTTGTTTGTACATGTGTACTATACAGTTGATGAAGGCAGTGGCTTGATGATGTCATAGGGCCTAGCCCGTATGGCCAGCTCCACTGCGTGAGAGAGTTAAGTCTAAAAATAAGAGGGAAGGCAACGCGGCACGAGAAAGGGAAATGCCGCATGGCATTTAAGGTATAAAGTTAGAGCGGAGAATAAAAGGAAAAGGAGATGTCCGGAAATTGTGTTATCGTAACAATGCCAGTACCTTCGAAACATTCTTTGACTATATTCGCTCAATTAGGGAAGATGAAAGGTCTGCTACTTTTGGTCTACTGAACAACCTTCAATATTGTCACAACATGAGTTCACTCTCACTAACTTCAGACTATGTCATGAGAGGACACCATGGCTCCAATGAAAACCACAACCTTTATGCGAATTATGTCCTGCTCCATGCTCATTTGCAATTTGACCAGAATCATGGACCTGGAAGAGCACAATCTATTATCAGTTGCTCAGGAACTGCACATATCCGCTTCTTTCCTCAAACAGAGTCATTTCCAATTCCCACTGATGAAGATATAAATGGACCTCCATCACATGATATGAATGGTCAAGTCAATGTGACGGTGGAGGTAATACAAGAATCCGATTTGGAGCCGATACACAATCATATAAATGGATTAATTAATGATGACTCATCCACTGATTCTGAATCACCACCCCCATATTTGTGTCAACAGTTACCATCAAATATCAGTGACTCACCCCCATCACCATCTTCTACCAATGCTACTATTGCTTCGTCACTTTCTCCTGATAATTGCACACTCATGCACCATAATCGCACACTCATGCATACTATTTGCAATGATAGTCAAGAGGATGAAAGGGAGATTGATTCCTCATCGCCCCTTCAGCTATCCCTCTCCACAACAATAGGAGCAGAGCATCAACCTTCCATCAATATATCATCCGATATTACTCCTTATCTTTGAACTTCTATGCATCACTATCATCATTTTCCCACGTCACCATCAGCTCAGCCATTATCGATTATTCACACCAGTGCCAGAAATTCTACCCCAATTCTAACACATCTTCACTCCATCCTAAATGCTTACATCGAGCATTACAAGCACCTAACATGTCCTGGCTCGAAGGGTTTCATATTACTAAAGAAGCTCTCATCATCGAGATTGTGGTGGGAGTGTTACTTGTCCTTGCCCTCTTCTACGGTTTTGTCTTCCCTCATATTTGCGCTTATTGTCAACAAGAACGTGTTGAGGTTATTCACCTCCACAACAGGACAACTCATCCATCTAGTGCATCCACATTCACCACCAGCACTGAGGTGCTTGCTAGTGCCACAGTTGAAGTTTGAGGTAGATGCTGGTGATACGTTTCTATATTCCTTTCTTACTTAACACTCCATTCAGCGCTCTTGGAGCATATGCCACCTTTTCCCTTTTTCTTCTTTCTTGTTATATATCTATTAATTGTACAAAATGGCCTCTTAGATTTCTATGTTATCTGGTTTTTCCTTCCTTTACTCTTGTACCAACTTCTTTTTCTATTGTCTATGTTCCCCTTTCGTTCTTATCTGATCTTTTTCCTTCCCCCCTTGTAAAACTTCCAACCTCATCCCTATCCTATTCGGTCCGAGATAACGCAAAACTACCATGGCACTTTCCTTCTTTGAACAATTTTTTTTTTAACCTGAGTTACATGATAGACATTGTGGACCCTATACCTGTACCAGCACCCAATTGGTCGAGTTTTGGAGCTTACAAACGTGTTGATTGCAAAGTCAAACCCGTTCCTGGAGTATTCATTCCCAGAAGACGCACATGTCACTTGGTTATTTCCAGAAGACCCACTCCTTTCGCTCCCACCCCTTCCTGTCCTTCCCCCAGAATTCATTCCCACGCTGAAGCTAACCAAGAAGCACCTTTATGACGAAATGAAGCTAAACTCTGATGGATTCTTATGGCCAGAAGAGGAAAAACTTTTTGCTCACATCATGATACTCAATCAGCACAGTCTTGCCTTTGAGGAAACTGACAGAGGAACGTTCAGAGAAGACTACTTCTCTCCCTACATCATACCTGTTCTCCCACATGTCCCTTGGGAATACAAGAACATTCCTATTCCTCCTGGAACCAAGAATGAAGTCATAGAATTGCTCAGAGACAAAATCAAAGCTGGATTTTATGAGCCTAGCCAGTCATCTTATCACTCTAAGTGGTTTTGCGATCAGAAGAATGATGGCAAGATTCACATCGTCCATGATCTTCAGCCACTTAATGCAGTCACTATCAAAGACTCAGGAGTACCACCTATTCTTGACGACTTTGTGGAGCCATTTGCTGGTTCCCAATGCTATACTGTGTTTGATCTCTTTTGGGGATTTGATGCTCAAAAAGTGCACCCTGACAGTCGTGACCTTACTGACAAAACCGGATAAACTCGGTCTCTGCCAAAGCAGCCATTGTTCTCCATGGAGCATAGCCACCACTCCATGGAGTAACCATTGTTCTCCTAGGAGTCATTATACTGTAGCGAGTAGCACCTCCGACTATAAGTAGTAGGGGGTTTAGTATAGGAATACCTCAGTCGTTTTTATAGCCTCTCGGGCAGCATCTGAGGTATGTTACATTACATTTATTAGAGATCACCTTAAACTAACATCTATTGTAGTTTCACTTAGGTTTATTACTTACCTCTTTTCTATCGCCACTAGGACTTCTGAGGATTACTTCTATGTCTATGGGATTCACCAATTCCGTTCCAGAATTCCAGAATTGCATGACTTTCATCTTGCAAGACAAAATTCTGCATATTGCCAATATCTTTGTTGATGACCTCCCAATCAAAGGACCTACTTCTTGTTACGAAGATGCAGATGGCAACCCAGAGACCATTCCTGGCAACCCTGGCATTCGTAAATTTATATGGGAACATGCCATTGACGTTCATCGCATTATGCATAGAGTTGGTCATGCTGGCGGAACTTTCTCTGGAAAGAAGCCTCAGTTATGTTGTCCTCAAGTTGTGATTGTCGGACAAGTATGCTGCCCAGAAGGTCGTCTCCCTGACAGTACCAAGGTGGACAAGATTCTTCAATGGCCAATTCTCCAGACTTCCAAAGTCATTCGCAGTTTTTTTGGTCTATGTGGCACAGTTTGCATTTGGATCCGCAATTACTCTGCTCTTGCACGCCCCTTGACAGAATTGTATCGCAAAGGAGCTGAATTTCAATGGGATGAACGCAGACAAGAAGCATTTGAGGCTCTGAAACATGCAGTATCCTCTGCACCAGCACTTCACCCTATAAATTATTCGTCACACAACCCAGTTGTTCTTTCAGTTGATACCAGCAAGATTGCTGTTGGTTTTATCCTCTCCCAGCTTGATGAAAATGGAAGGAAGCATCCAGCTCGCTATGGCTCTATTCCCATAAATGATAGAGAGGCAAATTACAGTCAACCCAAGCTAGAATTATATGGTTTGTTCAGAGCACTTCGTCATTTTTGCCTTTACATTGCAGGAGTAAAACACTTGCATGTGGAGGTGGATGCCAAGTATATCAAAGGCATGCTCAACGATCCAGATCTTCAGCCTAATGCCACTTCAATCGTTGGATTCAGGGCATCCTTCTCTTTGATTTCAAGCTCATTCACATACCTGCTGATCGTCATCGTGGTCCTGATGCGTTATCTCGTCGTCAACCAACAGAGGAAGACTTTGAAGATGCTCAAGAATCAGATGATTGGCTTGATGATATCGCTCTTCTTGTTGATCTTGCCAGACCTCTCCCATATTACCCTATGTCACTCCCTTCGTTCCTTACCAATGATTCTTCTCAGTACAATACTCTTCGTCAAATCTTCCACTTTCTTCAAACTATGGAGCTGCCTATATTTTCCTCTCTTCAAGCTCAAAAGTGTTTTGTCAAGCGATCACTTCAATTCTTCTTGAAAGGAGACAGCATGTTCAAGCGTTGTCACTCTGCTCCTCCTCTCAAAGTCATCTTCAATCCTGACCTTCGACTTCACATCCTTACTGAAGCACATGAAAGGCTTGGTCACAGAGGAGTCAATGGTGTATTCTCTACAGTCAGAGAGCACTTTTACTGGCCCCATATGTTACAGGATGTCAAGCATCATATTCGCACCTGCCATGAATGCCAGATTTGAAGTGTACGCAAAAGTGAAGTCCCACTTACCATCTCATCACCTCCTACAATCTTCACCAAAGTCTATGTCAACATTATGCTCATGCCCAAGGCCAGAGGATATCATTTTCTTGTTGCTGCAAGAGATGATCTGTCACTTGCTGCAGAAGGAAGAGCATTGAAGAAAGCATCTGTGTTACGATAACACAATTTTTGGACCTTTCCTTTATTTTCATTCTCCGCTCTAACCTTGTACTTTAGCTTTCACACAAGGTGCCATGCGGCACTTCCCCTTTTGTCCAAACTCCTCCTTCTTGCGCCGCGTTGCCTTTCTTCTTATTTTAGACACAATTCTCTCACACAGTGGAGCTGGCCATGCGGGCTAGGCCCTATGACATCATCAGCCACTATCTCTATCAACTGTATAGTACACATGTACAAACAACCCTGTAGTAGTATATATACCCAAATAGATCCAGGAGACTCCTCAGCGAGTCCTCCTGTTGTATACCAACAAACTCTCTGCAGCTCAAGGGTAACCACTCCCTCATCATCTTCCTTATAGTGTGTTTTGTGTGTGCCAGAGTAACTAACTCTAGGTTGTTACAATCTGCATATAATCTTGCTTGCTTTTTCTGGGAAGAAATCATCTGTCGCTATGGAGCTATAGGAGAAGTTGTTACAGATAATAGAAGCAAAGTCAAAGGAGCATTTAAAGAGCTTGTGGAACGTTACCAGATCCCACATATTCGCATTTCTCCCTACAATTCCAAGGCAAATGGTGTTGTTGAGCGTGGACACTTTGTCATAAGAGAAGCACTTGTCAAGTCCTGTGAAGGGAATGTTGATTTATGGCCAACCAAGGTCCATCATGCCTTCTTTGCAGACAAGGTCACTACTTGTCGTTCTACTGGATTCAGCCCTTTTTATCTGTTGCACGGAGTTGACCCAGTCCTACCATTTGATCTGACAGAAGCAACTTTCCCTGTTCATGGATTCCATACTGCAATGTCAACAGAAGACCTCATTCCTCTGTGCATTCGTCAACTAGAAAAAAGACAGGATGATTTGCAACAAGCTGCACTCACTATACGCAAAACTCGTTGTCGATGATGAGAACTGCAGTTAGAAAACCACACACAAAAACAAACTAACGCACAATCCTCCCAGATTCCACGGAACTTGTTTATGGGCTTTGCCTCCTAGAACAGTGGGTGCTCTGGTTGTTCGTGGGGTGGTATGTATGAGGATCCTTCAAAGTAAAACCCAGAGGTGTATGAGTGTGGGTTTTGAGGAGGAGGGATAGTTGAATTTATAGAAGGATAGGGGCTTTGTGACGAGTATAGACGAGCACTACCTTGCTAATTGTAGCACAAGGTAGGTTTGAGAACAACGAGGATGACGAGGTGACGAGGTTCCCAGTGATAGCAGGTTCCTGGCGCACAAACTGTAGTGCTCAGAAGGACTCTAATCGAAAGGGATGACAATGACTTCAAAAATGGGAAGTGACGATGACAGCAGTTGACAGTGGTAGCAGTGGGAAGTGTTGTGACCACACTGGATCACAAGTAGCAGAGTAGTGAACTTGAGAGTAGAGAAGAAGTCTGGATTGGAGTTCTTGTTTTTTTTACAAGGTAAAATACAGGGGTTTATATAGTGAAAGAAAAGTAGGCTATGCATAGTATAGCTGTGCAAAAAGAATGAGAAAGAATATGAAGGAAGGAATGTATGCTGACAAATCCTGTGTAGGTAGTACAGGATAAGATTGTCAAAAAAAGGAAAAGAAAGGGATAGAACAATAAATGCTGTGAGTAATGTCACAGGTTTGTACAGCCATAAAGTAAAGTCCAATAGCAAAAAGAGAGCAGGAAAATCATGATGTCATGGGAAGATGCAGTAAAAAAAGGGCAAGGCAAAACACTATCAGTATCAACACAGTTCTTTTATTGTCAGTCAGGCATTCTAAAAAAATATGTGTCCATAAAAATGATTCAAAAATCAAAAATAATCGCACTGTAAATGAATGTTCTGCTGAAGAAAAAGAAACTGGAGCCACCGGTCCACCACCTAGTCCAAATCCGACAGTTCCATGGCCTTACCAATGGACTGGTTGTGTTGGACCACCTGATCAAAGAAGGGAGGGAGAGGAGTAGTTCCAATTTGGAACAAGTGAGTCCCAGGCAGCATGTGGTAGGTGTAGCTGTAGCGAAGACGATGGACAAAAGATAAGTGTACCCAAGTGAATGGGACAGCGATGAACATGGGCGACGCAAGGGGATGAACCTTCTCCAGCTCAAAAATTACCCACCCACGCTCCAACCAGGCAAGACGAGCGACCGATGTTTTGATAGTATATGATGGTAGATCAACGTCATAAAGATGGACCTGTTGCCCTATTTGAACCGGCTGCCGGGGCTTTGCTGATATCAGCAGTGGCACGTGGTAGTCAACGGATCGGCGACGGAAGCGGATAGGAAGTGGTGACATCAGAAATGGTGGGGGTGCAAATAAAATGAGGAGGAGGAGGGTGGAGGTGACGGAAAAGTGGATTAGAATGGGGATCCAGAAACGACCGTCAGGTGAGAATAAAAAGGAGAGGAAGGGGCCCATGGTGGGGCTAGGCAAAGGAAGGGGAGTAAGGGAAACGACAAAAGCAAGGGCGCAATGCAATGTGTAGCCAGTGTTACAATAACACAATTTCCAGACATCTCCTTTTCCTTTTATTCTCCGCTCTAACTTTATACCTTAAATGCCACGCGGCATTTCCCTTTCTCGTGCCGCGTTGCCTTCCCTCTTATTTTTAGACTTAACTCTCTCACGCAGTGGAGCTGGCCATACGGGCTAGGCCCTATGACATCATCAAGCCACTGCCTTCATCAACTGTATAGTACACATGTACAAACAACCTGTAGTAGTATATATACCCCAATAGATCCAGGAGACTCCTCAGCGAGTCCTCCTGTTGTATACCAACTAACTCACTGCAGCTCAAGGGGTAACCACTCCCCATCTTCATAATCTCTATAAGTGTGTTCTGTGTGCGCCGGAGTAGATCACTCTTGGTTGTTACAGGCATTGGGGATAGGGATGGAGGCTTCAATAGTTTCTTCTAGACAGGTTTCCAGGTCCTCCAGTGCTCTGAGAGTACTAGAATTTTCGATTGAACCAATTGGGGAATTATCTGGAACAAGCACGGTTTCTTCTTCTGGGGTGACACTTTCAACAGCAGTTTCCGATTGATCAGTATTTCCATCTTGATCTTCTCCATTGAAGTCATAGTCCGTGACTAAGAAGCTGGATACTGTATCGGATACTCCAGATACTGGTTTGACATAGTGAATAGGACGATGATCTGATGATACCTTGACTTCCAGAGCAGGGTTTTTGATTTTGCCATCCTTTCTGAAGACGAGATAAGTGCCATTAAGTCTCTCTTCAATGCTGACATAGTTCCCATGTGTCCATGGTCGTCAAAGAAGTAGATCATATCCAGTGTCTTTCCCAACAAAATTATTTGAATAAGTTTTGACTTCTCCACAATATAAAGCCACATTGTTGACTAAACCATCAAGCTTACCAAATCCTCCATTGGCATCTTTGACTACAGTCAAATACTAGTATCCATGGGAAGGTGAATGAGATTTTCCCAAATAGTGCAGCTGACTATATTGAGAGCAGACCCTGATCAACAATTGCTGAAATAGTTTCTCCATTAGAGGTAACAGGGACACAAATGAGGTCGGCATGAGTGATGGCAAGAAGTGATTCAGCTGTCAAGCTTTGGCGCTTGTTGTCTAGTCCAAAATTAAGGCGCTTGGGTTTCATCATTTCTTGGAGATTCTGGGAAACTTCTTTTGATAGACCAATGTCGTTACCAATAGATAGTGGGATAGGGGTGCTGAGAATTTGATCAATGATGGCTTTGGAGTCAAGATTATGCGAAAGAGTAGATGAAGTCTTGAGTTGTTTCTTCTGTTTATCGGCAGGGGGATTCTTCTTAGTGGTCTGGGAAGCATCTTCCATGATTACATCGTCATTAGTGGGGTCAAAGATAGGCTGTGCAATATCAAAGATGTGTGGCTTTGATGGGGGAGGCGCTATGGTTGGAATGACAGGCTTCTCTTCTTCTTTCTTCTTTCCTTTTACGGCTTTGGCCCAATCTGGTTTAGGAGGAATGCAGACGCCATCAAAGATTTGCTTGCGCTTCTCCTTAGACACTCTTTCTGGACAATCTGCTGCATAGACAGGCTCTTCATCTGAATCAGAATCAGAGTCAGCTACTTCAGCAATGAACATGAAAGAAGTTGTAGTGAGGACATCTTAGCACGTTTACTAGGTCTCAAGTCAATGAAGCCACCGGTTTTTTCAGACTTTCAGAGAAACAATCTGGTTATTGTGGATAACAGAATATACAGGCATAAGGTATTACACATCAATTATACTACCTAAGATCTTCGCCGAGCTCAAGGCTTACTCAATCTATGAAATCATGCCAATGTCATAGTTTTGTCTAGCGAGGAACAAGAAGATGGGGATTTGAACCCCCATCCTTATTGGTATGCACATATTGTGAATATCTTTCATGTTGTCATCAAGCACATAGGCTCCAATTTCCAAAATTCAAATACCCAGAGAATCAAAGTTCTCTGGGTTTGTTGATTTGCGTGTGACACAAGCCACGTCTCAGGTTGGAAAGCCTGACGTCTCCATCTTATCAGTTTCTTGAATGCTAACATTGTCAATGATGTCTTCGGTTTTGTGGACCCTTCACAAGTCATCCGTGGAGTTCATCTTATCCCCGCTTTCCACTTTGGCCCTACTTGCAACCTGCTACCCCATTCCATCCCACACCAACCGTCTGAGAAGCACTTTGATTATGTCTGGTATTACATTAATCAGTGAATATTGCTGTCCTTTTTTTGAATGATTTCTACTTACTTTAATTGTTAGATTTGTCAATCGTGACATGTTCCTTTGGTTCCAAGGTTGTGGGGTCGGCCATAAAGCTACGTGTGATGCAACACGTAGCTTCCTTGCCGATGTTGATGAATTAGATGGACAAGAGTTTGTTAGGGAATGGGATGACTTACGAGAGACAAAAGGCTCAAATATGGACACAGAGGAGAGTGATGAAGAGCGCAAGAACAATGAAGATGCATGTGATTCGGAGACAGAGCTGGAATCAATGGATGTCAATTAATCTGACTTGGACAATGAGGATGGTATAGATGACCAGGATGTGTGAGTCTGTTTCAGATGGGGAAGATAGTGATAGTGACGTTGAGGACAACATCATGAACCTTGAGGAATGGGAGGGCATGAATGACTCAGAAGAGTATAATAATCTGTATGGGTTTGCACCTCCTTGACGACGGTCCAATTTTCTCGCTCGGACATATTTTATTCTTTACTTGATAATGTAGATTCTATTCATTGTAACTACTACATGAGGCTTGTTGATACATTATAATGTGATGACAACCTGGAGTACGACTTAACAGTCTGGTAAGTAACTTCAGCAGTGTGATCTCAGTTTAATTGATGCACCTGCAGGCAGATCAATCAGTCTTTAGACTACTTGCAGGCTGGCAACATCATGAGAAGGCGCCCCTTACCCTGGAACAGGCATTTTGTTGACATCACCAGCTTGTTGATGACATGTCAAGTGTCTCATCCAACTGACAGCCACTTGACGGGAAGGTCCGGGTCTGTCCTGATCTGCTAAGGCAAACCCAACATCTGCCTCTTTTGCTGATGTGTATGAAGTAATGAATGGCTATGTTTTATTAAAAATGCAAAGAAACTATTGATCACAAGAATCTTATCATTTGACTGCCCCTAGCTTGAGTCCAAGCTTCCATCTTGCTCACAGGGACCACTTGCACTTGCAGTGTGCATGTTTTGCTGGAGAACAACAGAGATTTGAGCTATCAATATCCTTATGAGGTCCTTCTTCACCATGCTTTGCAGGCCCCAAGGTATAGTCGAGTCTTATACCTGGTGAATCTCCAGTTGAATGATCAGCTTATCCTTGGTGAGTTGATTCAGTTCTTCTTCATTTGGCGTCAGGACCATCACTGTGGCATTGTGTTCAGCCTCTCGGCTCACCGTCTTCTGTGCTTCATTTTGCTGCCTCTGCAACCCTCTGCCTCTTTGCTTGGACCTCATCCTCTTCATGCCAAATAATCTCGAGGCAGCGCTTCTTCTCAAGGCCAGCACTATAGATTTCTCTCACGAGGCGCATGGCATGGCAAAACTCTTCTGAGGTGAATATTGCATCCACAAAAAACTGCATGTTGTTGTGGCAAAATTGTGTGATCGCATTGTGCTGATGCATTGATAAGGTAGGCTTATCCCGTGCACACAGCCAGAATGAGCCAAGGGCCCCCTCGTTTGCGTCATTCATCGCAGGCATCCATGCAGCATTGTTGCTCCTCAGTACTGGCTTGGTCAATTGTGCCGCCTGGCACAAATTTGGTTGTGAATGACTTCCACTTGTTGAGTGCTCCCTGGAATAGGGCTAGTGTGATTGGACGCAGATGCCCAATCTTGGAGGCAAGTTTGAATGCTGCAGCCATAGCAGCAGGATTACACCAGGGCCAACCACCAAAGCAAGCTGTTTTGGGGGCCACATTAGCACCAAAGATCAGTTTCGGATTGGTAAAAATAAGTTTGAGGTGCTGTTTCAGTTCCTCATGCAATGGTCCCAAGTCCAGCACATTGATAGACTCTGTGCCTGGCCCCCAAACCATCTGTGAATATGGATGCAAGACTGTACCACCATATAATACAATGGCAGCGACCTCTGTCATTGTCTTTGAACAGTGGAGAGCCTTGTACAAGTTGAGTTCCATGTGATTGAGTTGCACGGTCCAGGGCTTCAGAGAATGATGCTGAGAGAGCAGGGTTCTGATAGGTGCACATTTTTCTTCGGCTTTCCTTCAAGTTGTCCTTCAGAGATGCAATATCTGCCTCACTCCTTTCAGCGCAAAGTTTGAGTGCTCTGATGCACCCCGCCAGCTCCTCCTCACATGCCACCGCCTTCTTCAAGGCATCCTTCTGCATTGATAGAATTGTGATGGTGCAAACTTCTTTGAGGCTTGCCTTGGCTAACCGTGCTGCAGGTTTTGAACAAGAGACCTTGCGCTTCTTGTTATGAAGGAGGATGTGCAGCCACTGCACTTGCACTCTGCTCCAGTGCTTGTAATGTACTCTTCATTTCCATGGCCTCCGCACTCCTGGCTGCAAGCAAGGCCTTCTTGCTTGCCAGCTCAGCATTCTGTTACGATAACACAATTTTCGGACCTTTTCTTCTTTTTCATTCTCCGCTTTAACCTTGTATACTTTAGCTTTCACACATGGTGCCACGCGGCACTTCCCCTTTTGTTCAAACTCCTCTTTCTCACGCCGCGTTGCCTTCTTCTTATTTTAGATACAACTCTCTCACACAGTGGAGCTGGTCATGTGGGCTAGGCCCCATGACATCATCAGCCACTAACTTTATCAACTGTACAGTACATAAGTACAAACACTCTGTATTAGTATATATACCCCAATAGATCCAGGAGACTCCTCAGCGAGTCCTCCTGTTGTTAACCAACAAACTCTCTGCAGCCTAAGGGGTAACCACTCCCCATTCACTACCTTTATAGTGTGTTCCTGTGTGCGCCAGAGTAACTAACTCTTGGTTGTTACACATTCTGACGTCTAATGCAGGAATTTCTTTGTGTGAGAGCCTTTCTAGCAAGATTGAAGTTGCAGTTGGCCTTTGACAACTTAACTTCGAGGTCTTTGATTGCATGTAAGTGAGAAGCCCTGCGTGTTTGAACTCCAGCCTGACTCGAGGCATTATAGAATGAAATATTGTTGTTCTCCTTGTCAGAATCAAGGCGCAGCCACCGCAACTCTTGTACTTGAGCAAGGTGGGCTGCCTGGGCTTGCGAGTGCTGTCTTCTGCAGCGAGGCATCAAAGGCTAGCTCGGGCTTGAAGTTGACAGGAAGATATGCATTACGCAGGTTCTCAAGGCCCACAGAGTTTGTAAGGACTATCCAGTAAGTGAGTTTAAATTTCCATCGCAGAAAGGAGTAATGACTGTGATATTTTGCCAGGGAGAGTCGAGGCAATCAGTGCCTGCACGTTAGCAAACACACTTGTGGCAGCACAATGCGCCAATTTAACTGCCATCCCTTCATATTATAAAGGCCCATGTTATTCATCCATTCTCTGTGCAAGTTGTGGCACATTCTTATTTCACTGTATATACCTTTGATTTGTTGTGATCATTTCTACAAAATCTGTACAATTACCTACTGAATTGAACATGGGATAGCGCGTATCTCACTCAAAAAAGAAGATTTGTGAAATCGCTCACAACAATTTGAAGATATTTGCATTGCGAACAACTTTCCCTCTCAAAGTTTGTACACAACTTGGTGTACGGAGAACCTTTAACCTTGCAACCCACACCCTCCAGCTATGTCATTATCTCTTGTCTCAATTGTTTCCCACGGGGTTGTGTGAACACTACCAAGTTGGCTGGTGTTGCCCACTCCCACCATTTGACGGATTGGACCGACCGTTTCTCACATAACATAACTGGTCGTTTTTTCATCAAGTTTGAAAATTTCCTATTGCTAACCCTAACCTTTGCGTTGGGCAATAGCACATCACACAACCAAGTTCAAACTAGTCCAACATGTAGGTAGTTAGGTGGTACTAACAACCACGCAAGGGTAAAACTTTTGCGAATAAACCCTTATATGCGAGGCGTCAGTGTCAATAACACCTGTCTCAAGGTTTAAAACCCTGGATTTCGTTTCACTTTCACTTCATGACCTTGGTCTGTATGTTCTGCAAGTCTCCTATCACTACGACTAAGTCAAGCCACATCTTTAGCACATTGTTGCTTGCGACACCATATACATCAGTATGTCAAATCTCTCTATTACCACAAAACATGATGGATCCTAAGTCTCAATATCATAAGATTTTGTCAAAAAAAAGGATGTAGCAAAACTAAGCACAAAATTCTATTCATGTGTGTGCCCATTATACCATTAATTCGTTCCTATCGCATACCAATATAACATCTTTCTTTTATCGTCACTTCATACCCATACCAACACATTACAACCACGTAGTTCGCACAAATTCACAAGGACTACCCCAACCAATTACTGCATCTTACCCAAGACACGAGGTTGCGAAATGTCGGCCATGTTGATGAAGATATCATCTGCAGGGTGGCGGTACAGAGGTGCACGGAGACGCTTCTGGTCAAGATGGTGACCGATGAAACCGATAGAACGGCCAAGAACGAAAAGACCGTTCAAAGTACCAATCTGTATATGATGTCAGAACCCAGTCTGGTATTAACACATGAGAAACGTACCTTGATGTATTCATCGGCTTCGTCCGGAGTGAACGCGCCCGAGTCACGAAGGAGATCGACGAAGCAGACAGCAATACAACCGTCGACATTTAGGATGAGCTAGAATATATGAGTAAGTATCCCTGAGAGAAACATATTTATATATGGCATGACTCACTGTGTCCTTCTTCGATGTTGTTACCTTCTCGACGGCCAACGCATAGTCGAGCAAGCTGTGACTAGGGAAATTCTTGCGAACATATTCCTTAACCAGCTCAACACGCAGATCGGGGTTGTTCACACTCTTGATTTTGTGTCCAATGCCGCTGACTGTGTACCACGATGTCAGCATTGCATACGGGCAACGGAAGGGAGAAAGCGGAGATAGAGGGGGATAGCAAATGAAGAAAAGCTCGCTCACTCAGTTTATTTGCCTTCCTTGACTCATCAACAAACTCTCTGGGCGTAAGGCCAGTATCTCTCGCTCCACTGAACATAGCAGCAGCTTCATCCAAAGCACCACCAAATCGACTGCCGATCGTCAACAAACCCGATGCCAAACTCGAAATCAAATCTTTGCCAGCACGCGATGCAACAATCGTGTTCATGGCACCAGACACAGCAGGACCATGGTCTGCCGTCAGCATCAACACCATCTCGATGAACTTGGTCGCCCAAGGTGGTAGACGACGTTTGAACCATAGTAGAGAAACAACACCTCCCAGACCGATATCCTCCTTGAACACATCCGAGATACGCATACCAGCGTAGAGCAGCTCTTGTCCACGCTCATCCGAGATCGTCGAGATGAATGCAGCAGGTTTACGAATGAGACCAAGTTCCTGAGCCCACTTGTAGTCCATGGGAATAACAGGGGGGTCAACCTCCTTCTTAGGCTTGACTGTGCCATCAGCCACAAGACGCTCGTACGTCTCCTTCAACACGGCAGGTAGCTCCTCGAAAGTATCAGGGACGACGAAACCTGCTTCCCTCATGGCGTGGTTCTTCGAATCAGCAGTCTCGAGCTCCGAGTTTGCCATACTACCAGCGTGGCCGAATTGCACCTCCGTCGTGAACATCTTAGCACATGTACCGATAGCCCAAGCAACTATAGGCTTCTTGATTTTGCCAGCTTTGACGGCATCAATGACGCGGTACTCTTCAATACCACCGACTTCACCAAGGAGTACAAGCATTTTGCAATCAGGGTCGGCCTCGTAACGCATGAGATGGTCGATGAAAGTAGAGCCAGGGTAACGGTCTCCGCCAATGGCAATACCCTCGTAGGTACCGTTGGTGACAAGCGAGAGGATGTTATTGAGCTCATTGGACATACCACCAGACTTTGAGACGTAGCCAACGGATCCAGCACGGTACAACTTGGAGGCAATGATGTTGTCCATCATTCTGCGCACAGGAACCGTCAGCACTTACACACTTCACCTATATCAAATTTTATGCTTACCCTCCCGAGTTACCAATCCTGAAGCATCCAGGCTTGATACCACCGACAGTAGCAGGACCAATGATCAAGACGCCCTTCTGCTTCGCTAAGTGCAAGATTTCCCGAGCATGTCTCTCAGGAACACCCTCAGCAATCAATGCCACGCTCTTGATTTGCTGGTACTGCAGAATCTCCAACGTACTTGAGTATACACTTCGCGAACTGGCAAAGTTAACGACGACATCAACATCAGGGTGCTTCTTCACGGCTTCTTCCACAGAGGTATAGACGGGCAGCAAAGTCTCCTTTGTACCCCAGTAGAATTTCTGGATGTGGTGTCCACCGAAGGGATAGATCATAGCAGCGACACTAGGCGTAGCTCGTTTGCACGAGTAGTCGAAGTCCAACATGCCTTGAATAGCTCGTGGTTGAAGACCATACACGAACGAACGTGTCTCAGCGTCAAAAGGACGATAAGCGGGACGAGCACCAGCGGGGTTGACATCGAATCGGATGACATTATCCTCAGCTTGAGTACGCTCGCCGTCAGCGTGGATAGAACCAACACCCGCCTCCGTGTCAAGTTCCGGTTCAACTCGATGCGCGCGACTGGGCGAGGCAGGGGCTGTAGCAGGTACACTCTTGGGTACCGTCCTACCTGCGCCGCTACCGGGTTGAACGCCCAGTGCAAGGGGAACGATCTCTGTGATGTGGGTATCGGGGCCGAAGACTCGAATCGGAACACCCAGGGACTCGCCAAGGAGACGCATAGCTTTGAGACCCTCCTGGTAGTTAGGACCACCCCGTCTGACGAAGATACGAACACCGTGTGCGATAAGAGGTGATTTGTACTCCTTGAGAGCGCGGATAATACCCTTGAATGTAGCTGCGACGTTGGTGAAGTTGGCAATACCTCCACCGATGATGAGAATCTTGCCGTCGGGACGGGGAGTACCACGCGTGATCAAGTCAACTAAAATAAAGGACATGCAGTTGATATATGCACATAGATTAACTAATGAAAAAGACACGTACTGATGGTCTTGGCGTACTCGTACGTCTGACCTTCGGTGGGTGCACCAGAGTATTCTCCATAGTTGGCAAGCTCGTGCGCAAATCCATGTGCAGCGATCGCATCGGAGTAGACGACACTAGCACCCCCACCAGCAACCATTGTCCAGACCTTTCCTTCTGGGTTTAGAACGGTGAGCTTAAGCGATGCACCAGTGCTTCCATCCAACTTTTGGATGTAGGCTTCTTCCTTCGTGAGGTCACGGCCGAATGGCGCAGGCCAAACCATAGGTGGACCACGATCTGCACTAACTTTACCAGAGGCCTTGCCATTTGGCTTTGTAGGCAGGGCGCTCGAAGATGGACCAGGTTCATAAACGGTCAGATCGCGAGCAACGGCCCATTTGGGCCCACAGATCGACTCGGCAGTTTGGTCAAGCTTAGCGGCCATATCAAGGTAGTGGATTGTTGGTTGGCCACCGGGGGTAGCAGCATCAAGGCAGATTAAAGGGTTGATTTCAAGATAAGCAAAGTGAAGGTCGACATAGACTGAGTAAAGGCGAAGGAGGAAATCGGTAAGAGTCGATTTCTTTTCCTGTGGGACGTGAGTGAGGAGAGTGGATTCAACTTGTGCGCGGGATGGGAAAGACCCTGACACAGGAATAGCGAGACGGAGGGCCTTGGCATCTACGTCACCTATGTCGACGCCTCCCTCGTGAGTGAAGAGAATTAAATCACCCTCTCGGGCAGATGTAATGCAGACATAGTACTCGGTATTCGAAGGGTGAGGAAGGAATGGCTCTACGATGAAGTTGTTGAGTGTACCAGTGACAGATTCAACCTAGAAACAGGATGTAAGTTAGCAAGTGAAAGATAACGCTTCGATCGATCACGTGCTCAGGCGCGCGTCAGAAGCAAGACATGTATGAAAATGAAACGTAAAACGTAATGTGAGCTGCGATCGGATATCGATTATATGCGATCGAGCACGATAGCAGCACGATTTCAAAGTGATACAGAGTAAAAGATCAAGACTCACCCTTTGTGGTTTTCCAGCCTTTTCTGCGATCCATGCCTTCGCATCGTCCCAAGTTTTGTTGAGAGCGAGAAGTCCCGCCTTACCGCGACGCTTGATGAGTTGGTCCGGCTTGGCAACGAGCTTTGTAGTGAATACCCATGAAGGGAGGTGAGAATCTGGGGTGATAGTGTTTGTTTCTGGGTCCCAAGATATCTGAGCGACTTTTGGTGCAGGGTAGATGAACTTTGATTCGACGGTTGCCGAGGGATGGGCAGGAGGAGCCCGCTCGAGCCAGTAAGCGAGGAGAAGTTTAGCGTCGTATTCACGGATGGCTGAAATGCATCAGTTGTAGGCAGCGATAAGACGAGATATGAAAACAAGCAAACCTTTAGAGGACATGACTGGAAGGAGAGAATGAGGATAAAAGCTGTATGGGCAAGAGAGGGTATTTAAAGCGAAATCAAAATGAGGACAGGATGGGGAGTACAGGTAGAACCCCCAATTTTCGCACGAGGCAGAGACCCATCACTTTTCACCGCCACCCAAGAAATAAGAAATCGAATTGTCAGTTATCGGTGCCTTTTTACAATTGGTTGACCTTGAAAATATCGCGAGATTTTACGCTGTCCTTGACGGCAAACACGTATCGTACCACTTCGCTTGCACCACAACTACAGTATGGGCATACTATGGGCATGGTGGGCTTGCTAGCAGTACCGTTGGGGGTCAAGGCTGATAGTACACCACGGCCGCTGATCATCGATATCTCATCCATTGACGTCCTTATTCGCCCCGATTATCCTCAGAATCCTTGCCTCACCTCCTCCTCATGTGACTTGGGCATGTTTTTGTACGTTTAAAGGGGGTCATACGCTTCTCGTGGCTTCTTATGAGCTGATAGGAGTAGCCAGCGAGGCGACCTAGTGCCAGTATTCCGAACTCGAGTTGCCACAAATGATTGACTTTTGTGGTAATTGGTGTATCCGGATTCTGGTATCTGAGACACGAGCCAACTGTATCGATTTCGTTTCACTGATCTTTCGGATGTGTTACCCACCCTAACCCTCAAGATCACATTGATCTGACGTGCCTCATTGCTGTCAACACGTTGAGACATATTGCAACTCATCACAAGCGATCGCAACATAGCCTCTTCTATCTATACACCTCAGCCATCCCAGCGCAATCTGCATTGCACGCGACCTCATGATTACAGTCATATTCGAGGACAAGTAGAAATGATTATATATAATTGACAAGAACTCGAGCACAATGCTTAGAACTCAAAAGACTAGATAACTGGTATGTTATGTCTGTATCATGGATCACATTTTTGACATAGCAACACGTCGCTGCCGACGTTAGCGGAAACTTATATACGCACCTTTCAGGGCGCTCGTCCAGTCTCACGCAGTTACTGAACTCGCTACATATCGACCCTTCAGTTGGTATCTTTGCCTACGATCATGGTTCAAGGACTGGAGACATTGGCTCCGGGAATATCACTCGAGCCCAGTTGTGTAGTCTTGCTCAGATTCTTGTTTTACTTTGCGAGTTGCGATATTTTAAGTCCAAGATGTTTTTGATTTTCAGGAATGGATCGACTGAGTGCCACTTTGTGTTCACCGATGACTTGTTGAGTAGTACTTGGTTTTGAGCTACATTAGCTAACAGTGTTTGCATAGGGCCGACCTGCACTGACAGACAAAACATCAATGTGTAGGAGCGCTTTTATAGGTTTTGCTCTCACTCCAAACACAGGAGAAATTTACGGTTCCCGTAGCTGTGTCACTACTAATCAGTGTTTGACTAGCTGTTCTAACCTGTGCAGTTGACGATTGCAGTTGCGGCGCGATTGTTCTTCGTCCAGACGCCAAGGCCATTTCCGGATCTCGCGGGTGTCATGGTTTAAGGTGTCAATATTCTACAGGCAACAAGAATCCTTGACCCTGGCAACATATTCTCCTGGTTTTTGCCACCGACCGTTTCCAGACTGATTTCCTACAAGGGAGACAATCTCTCTCACCTCCCACATGCCCGAGGTCATAGCTCCAACTGTCTGAGTCCGCTGGCGCGTGAGCATATGTGCATCACCTGGGCGCATCTTCTCCGGATACAAACAGTTAGATTGCTGATCGCCAACCTGGATATTTACAGCACAGATGGCACCTTGTCGAGGAGTTAGCAGCAATTCACTATAATTCTGTGAGAGATTTCCTATCTCTTTGCGCACTCTACGTCTTTCATCGTCGCCATTCTGTCATTAAGGTCATTTTTTGCCAGCTATAATATTTCACCGTTGTTGGGATAGCTCCATTACACACATCACAAAGCTAAGACGCTGCTAGATCCTTAATTTCAAACAGCTGAGCCACTATTCAGATCGGAAGTTCATCGTAACATATTTTCGCCCAATCAGCTCGAACTCTTTGCGCATTAGTCCTAGTACAGTAAGTTTCCTGGCACAGCCTTAAGCCAGCGCTCGGTATTATGGAGAGAGTGGAGCCAGCCGTCTTTCTTCCACCGGGACATCTATACCAGTGTCGATGCTAATTAGGAGCTTATCTTTACGGCCTTTTCGCCTCCTAGGCCTATAAATCTGACTGATTCTGTACGGGATGCTACAATATGCAAATGGTGTCTACGAATCACGTCTTCTCTGCGTTTGCATTCATTGGATTTTTTCTCTCTGGCATCCTCCTGCCATGGCACCTGAGAGGTTCGTGTGTCTACTCATGGTTCTTTCTCTGTATACATTTATACCGTTTTCTTCCTGAAATGCAGTGAAGAGTCTTGGTACATGCTTCTTCATCGTATGGACAGGTTTACTCTGCCTCAATGGTTTCGTGAACTCGGTCGTGTGGGATGACAACACCGTCGACTGGGCGCCTGTGTGGTGCGACATTTGTTCGTAGCGTTTCCATCCTGACTCTGCATCTCCTCATTTTTCTCCAATAGCCTCTCGCTTAGAGGTAGCTGGTCGAATTGCTATACCAGCAACTTCGCTGAGTATAATTCGCCGCTTATACTTCATCATAAGTATCGATGCTGTGACTGAGAATGCTCAGAATAAATCCCAGGTAAGTGGTGTATTGCCAAATGCTCGTATGATATACATACTTACCTCTCAGAGATATTTAGAGATGGCGTTTGATGGCAGTGGATATTCTTCTTGTCCTAGGAATTCCCCTTTTATCTATAGTGATGGGTATGTTGTACAGACACCGTGTCTACTATTTTTTGCTGAAAAAGAAGCAGCGTACATTATTCAATATCAGCGTTTTTCTATTTTTGAGGAACTGGGATGCCACTATTCTTTGTCGAACACCGTAATTTCTTATCCTCTATATGGGATATGGCCGGTGGTTATTGGACTCGTTACTGCTGTATACGCAGGTGAGCATGATATATTCAGTTTACAACCTCTTGTGAGATTGTAATTAAGGCATCGTTATCCACGTATTAATCCGGAGCAAGACTCACGTCAAGGAGCTTCTGAAAAGTGACACTCCAGATCTTCGTTACCGTCACAGTTGGCGTCTTGCTGCCATCGTTTTTGCTGTGTTTCTTTGTTCATTTCCCACCAGTGTCTGGTATCTGGTCGAAGATCTTACCCAGAGCACACCGATACCTTGGCCAGGATGGGCTGTTGCGCATGCATCTATCTCTGTAATCACGCAATACTCCAATGCAGATTGGCAAGTTAGCAATGCCGTAGCAATATACCAGTGGGAACGTTGGTGTTACGTGGTGTATGCGCTCATATTTTTCATGCTTTTTGGATTCACGAAGGAGGTGAAGGAAAAATACTGGTTCGCTATTCGGTTTGTTCCCTCACTTTATAAAAAGCAAACTGGCTCCAATGCTGAGGCTATAAGGTCCGTGTTCCTATACAGAATACCAATGGCTTCTTAGTTTGACATTGCACTATCTTTAGGCAGGACGATGGGCACATTTTACCTCACAAGCCTCTACTTCCCATCGATAGCGTTTGGAAACCAGAGCAGGTCCATCTTCGCCCCATCGTGGTTTAGTTGCCAGACCGATGGGGGTTTCTTCCATACGGTTTCAGTGAAGTGTGGGCTGCATTCACGTGAGTACTCCAGCATCGACAATTGGCGTACAACCAAGACCTATCTACATAATGCTCGAGCTCGCGGCTCTTTCAATTATTTGATCGATACAATCTACTCATTCTATCCCTTCATGATGCAAGGTAGCTAGGTACGACTTTGATGATCTTCCAAACACGATACTGCAGAGATATAGATACTATTGTCCTTGCCAAATTCCTATTTAAATGGACTAAGTACTGCTAGCGCCAGATTCGATACTGTACCCTGAGCAGGACTGAAGATCGCTGCACGTTGCAACAATACATTGCCTGTGGGCGGTTCTGTTCATCCTTTTCCGGAAGCATTTGCAGCGTGTAGAATTTCCGTTATCCAGGTCAGCATTATCTGATCTGAACGTGTTTTCTTAGTATCGTCACGCTCAGACAATGCTATAGTAGCACTGGCAATGCTTTTGCGAGTCTAAGTTCTAAGAGAGGAAGACGAAACGCGTTCAAGATTTGCACAGCTGGTAGTACGAAACCTTTAAACTTGAACGTCAACGTATGGCTGACTTGCAGTATTTATGATGCGACAGCTTTAGGCTCCTGAGAAATGTGAAATGGAAAAGGGGTACTATATCAGGTCAGAAAAGAACAAAGGGGGGCTTCTCTGGAACTCGGCTTCCATGAAGGAAGTCATGTTCGGGCTACCGTTCCATGTAGCGCCAGCCTTTCTTCTTCCGTACCATATCCATCGGCATAGCTATCATGTCCATCGCACTTAAATCAGAAGATGGCCCGACAAAAGTTCCATTCGTACCCCAACATCCCTTCGACAACCCAAAAGCTGATCTGATAATACGGTCATCGGACAATGTAGATTTCCCTGTATTCAAGTTCCTCCTCTCTCTCTCCTCTTCGTTCTTCGAGACAATGTTCGAGTTACCGCAACCTTCGAACGATACCATCGAGTCGAAAGATGGACTCGCCATCATTCCGATAAGCGAGAGTAGTCGGATTGTGGATAAGATCCTCAGGTTTTGCTATCCTGTGGGGGTTGTGGGTAAACCACAGATCGATAACATCCAAGAAGCGATAGGGCTTTACGAAGCAGGGGTCAAGTACGGGATGGAAGGTCTCGAAAAAGCTGGAAGAGAGGCGTTAGTGGCACGTGAGTTCCTGGAAAAATCACCATTTGCTGTGTACGCCGTCGCTAGTCGATATAAACTGGAGGACGAGGCCAAGATAGCAGCAGAAGCCACTTTATGCAAAGCAGTGGTGCCAATAGACGCACCAGAGTTGGAATATATCTCCGGAAGGGACTTGGCAAGGCTTCAAAGATACCATGCAAAATGCGGCGAGGTTGCCAGAGCACTTCGGGATGATCTCAGTTGGATCGACGGAGATTCGACTAATATGTCATTTGATCGATATGTGACGCAGAGGAGAACGTTGGGATGCAACTGCGCGTATTCGATGACAAGGAATACAATTGCACAATCGTGGTGGTGGGACTGGCTTAATGGGACCGCGGAAGCTTTGCGACACAAACCTTGTGGGGATACAGTGCAAGAGACGTATTGGAAGGCACTTGAAGAGGCCAGTGTATGTGTGTACTGCCGGAAAGGAGTCTGGGAATCCCTGCCAAAGACAGTGAATCGCTTTGCTGCGGAAGTGAGCAAAGCCGTATCTAAAGTATACTCCGCCTTCTGCTACGATTCAATCTGGAACTCATGCAAACAACTGGATTTGATTATAACAGGTGAAGGTGGAAGACGTGGTTGTGGATAGTGGACGTAAAATGGATGTTTGCGGACTAGCATTGAGGTGAAATCGTATTGCTTTACACATGTAAGTTAACAGAAACATACCTGACGTTGATCTAAACAGTTGTGCTCTTTCAGCATGAACATATACTTTTCAGCAAAGAAGGGATTTAAAATCGAACGATGAACTTTGGGCACCCCCAGATCATGATCATATGTAAACCTTTCATCACAATGATATGTCGACCCCATATAAGCCAGTTTGATGACGGCTGGCACAAATCCATGCAAGTAAGGCAAAATTGAGATTGAAACGACTCATACATATAGTTAGGAGGAAAGCAGACTCCAAACCAGTCGACAGATGTGTGTGTATGCTACATCCACCAGTGCTTATTGATTATATAATCTGATTGTATAATTATCCGAAACTTGAGTTGAGCATAACACACATGGCCGACTGGCACAACTTGCAGTGGCGCCAAGTTTGGCCCTATTTGCCTTTCCGCTCCTTCCACTCAAATTGTGACCGACGTCCGGGGAATGTCAATCGGAGTTGTAAAAATAGAAAACAATTCGAATACAATGTACCTAAGCGATCTATATTTTGCCGCGAGTGAAATGGGCTGTGAGTGACCTACAAGGATACAATGTTGTGCAAGGAATGTAAAAAACGATTATAGCAACCTATATAAGGACCTGACTGCCATACACTAACCTAAGGACAACACCACAATGCCAGGAAACAGTACTGCAGGCCGGTTAAGTAACATTATAGCATATCTACAACAGAATGAACTCACACTTTCAGGAGTGATCCAAGGGGTTTTACAGAGCGACGAACCTAGCCACAAAACAGTCCGGGAGTTGCTTATATGCAATGCACAAAGGATATGTACTGTGCTACACAAGCAGTCGGCTGCTCACCAGTCAGTATTTTCATGGGCCATTTCACTCGAGGTACATTATATTCAAATTGTTTTCTATTTTTACAACTCCGATTGACATTCCCCGGATGTCAGTCACAATTTGAGTGGAAGGAGCAGAAAGGCAAATAGGGCCAAACTTGGTGCCACTGCAAGTTGTGCCAGTCGGCCATGTGTGTTATGCTCAACTCAAGTTTCAGTAAAATCTCGGATAATTATACAATCAGTGTAACAACCAAGAGTTAGTTACTCTGGCGCACACAGGAACACACTATAAAGGTAGTGAATGGGGAGTGGTTACCCCTTAGGCTGCAGAGAGTTTGTTGGTTAACAACAGGAGGACTCGCTGAGGAGTCTCCTTGATCTATTGGGGTTTATATACTGTTACAGGTTTGTTTGTACGTATGTACTATACAGTCACTAAAGGCAGTGGATGATGATGTCATAGGGCGCAGCCCGTGTGACCAGCTCTGCTGCGTGAGAGAATTGTAGCTAAAAATAAGAAGAAAGGCAATGTGGCGCGTGTTACGATCTCTATTGGACATTTAAGGACTACTCATTTCTTTTTACTCATCGGTTATACCATTGGACCGATGACTCATTTCCTTCACGTACACTTCCGTTCCTCTCGCATTCACAGTACCTATTATAGTACTTAGTCCTCAACAGACGGACCTGCCCTAGATAGGACCTAACTCCTATCACCAATTCCTTTCCATTATAAATACCATGTAACAGCAGTAGTATTCTCTAATACAATTCTACGCAGTTTACGCTTACAAAGCTAGACTCCTAAGATCAGACTTCTACTCAGAAGAAGACCAACTCCCGTTGGAAAACCTCCACTCAGAACCACGTTCTTGAACTTGTCTTCGGATAAGTCTCTTTACAAACCTCGACGATGTCATGCACCAAAGTTGATTGGTAGCATGGACAGGTGTCAATAACGAAGCGAATATTCAAAAAGACTCGCCTTTGCGCCACACAGGCACAGTGCCACGTGGAATAGTACTTAATATTGCCTTTTTTGAACTTGTGGCTGATCAGCATCACCTCTATTAGGCAATCCAGTCACGCTCACCTTTGCTTTTCCATCCGGTACTTTCGGCATTTCGGCATTTCGGCAAATTTTTGCGTCGCCACTGGCTACACATTGCATTGCGCCCTCGCTTTTGTCGTTTCCCTTACTCCCCTTCCTTTGCCTAGCCCCACCATGGGCCCCTTCCTCTCCTTTTTATTCTCACCTGACGGTCGTTTCTGGATCCCCATTCTAATCCACTTGTTCGTCACCTCCACCCTCCTCCTCCTCATCTTATTTGCACCCCCACCATTTCTGATGTCAACACTTCCTATCCGCTTCCGTCGCCAATCCTGTGACTACCACGTGCCACTGCTGATATCAGCAAAGCCCCGGCGGCCGGTCCAAATTGGGCAACAGGTCCATCTTCATGACGTTGATCTGCCATCATATACTATCAAAACATTGGTCGCTCATCTTGCCTGGTTGGAGCGTGGGTGGGTAGTTTTTGAGCTGGAGAAGGTTCATCCCCTTGCGTCGCCCATGTTCATTGCTGTCCCATTCACTTGGGTACACTTATCTTTTGTTCATCATCTTCGCTACAGCTACACCTACCACACGCTGCCTGGGACTCAGTTGTTCCAAATTGGAACTACTCCTCTCCCTCCCTCATTTGATCAGGTGGTCCAACACAACCAGTCCATTGGTAAGGCCATGGAACTGTCGGATTTGGACTAGGTGGTGGACCGGTGGCTCCAGTTTCTTCAGCAGAACATTCATTTACAGTGCAATTATTTTTGATTTTGAATCATTTTTATGGACACATATTTTTTTAGAATGCCTGACTGACAATAAAGGAACTGTGTTGATACTGATAGTGTTTTGCCTTGCCCTTTTTTTTTACTGCATCTTCCCATGACATCATGATTTTCCTGCTCTCTTTTTGCTATTGGACTTTACTTTATGGCTGTACAAACCTGTGACATTACTCACAGCATTCATTGTTCTATCTCTTTCTTTTCCTTTTTTTACAATCTTATCCTGTACTACCTATGCAGGATTTGTCAGCATACATTCCTTCCTTCATGTTCTTTCTCATTCTTTTTGCACAGCTATACTGTGCATAGCCTACCTTTCTTTTACTATATAAACCCCTGTATTTTACCTTGTAAAAAAAACAAGAACTCCACTCAGACTTCTTCTCTAATTTCAAGTTCACTACTCTGCTGCTTGTGATCCAGTGTGGTCACAACACTTCCCACTGCTACCACTGTCAACTGCTGTCATCGTCACTTCCCACTTTTGAAGTCATTGTTATCCCTTTCAATTAGAGTCCTTCTGAGCACTACAGTCTGTGCGTCAGGAGCCTGCTATCACTGGGAACCTCGTCATATTGTTGTTCTCAAACATACCTTGTGCTACAATTAGCAAGGTAGTGCTTGTCTATACTCGCCACAAAGCCCCTATCTTTATCTTCCAACTATCCCTCCTCCTCAAAACCCACACTCATACATCTCTGGGTTTTACTTTGAAGGATCATTATACGTACCACCCCACAAACAACCACTCCACTCCACTGTTCTAGGAGGCAAAGCCCATACACAAGTTCTGTGGAATCTGGGAGGATTGTGTGTTTGTTTGTTTTTGTGTGTGGTTTTCTAACAACAGTTCTCATCATCGACACCAGCCAGAAACACCTGTTCCAAACCCGGAACATGTCCATTGAAGCCATGCCATCTCTGCTGTGTTGAAGAACAATCAGTACCTGGGAGTAGATGATTCAGTCAAACTGTTTCAAATTTTTGAGCACAATATTGTAGTTGTAGGTATATACCTCAGCCTTTTGCAGAATGATGAGTTTTGCAGTGTCTATGTTCACTCAAAGCTCAGTGGTCTTACCTACAATGTACTTATATCTATGTTCTCCATACCTCAATGGAATTATTGGTCGAGTCAATCCATCCATGCGTGACTTTGAGCAAATGAACATTGTAGTATACTGACTTACAACAACCCTCATTTTTGCAGCTCTGCTGGATAGCCTACCCACATCTCCTGAGCAATTTTATCTTGTTGGCTGTTTGCTGCAAGACAAGCTGCCTCCAATATTACTTGATATGAAAGCTCCCCGTTATTGCCATTATCAGGTGTGAGAAGATCAGTGTCTTTGTTGTTGTCTTTGTCATTGGTTGGATTATGAGTATGGATGAAGTTGTGAAGGAAGCAAACAGCGGGTGGGATGAGAGCCTGCACAGACATGGCCTTTAAGATTGAAAACTGGCGCTTCAGAACACCAAAGATATGCTCAATGATGTTCCGAGCTGATGCATGGCGCAAATCAAAGTACTCTTGTGGGTTTTGGGGCCTTTTAGAAGTGAGCTTAGTCCAAATATATATATTAGGGACTTCCTTGCAGTTTCCACGAGCGTATTTGGCCAGGTGGTAGCGCACACCTCTGTAGGGGACAAGGAGCTGGTCACATGAGGGAAATCCAACATTGGCCGGATAGTATTGGCCACGGGGTATATACAGATCATGGGAGTGGGCATCATGAAAGAGACTGGCATCCGCAGCGGACCCCTCCCACCCACTAAGGACATACGTAAACTGCACATTGAAACCGCAGCACAAAAGGCAGTTCTGCAAGAACACGCCCTTGCAATTTTGTGCAGCATCACGCTCTGCATCCGAAGGGCTGCAGGCAATATGGGAGCCATCAATTGCACCAATGGCATCCTTGAAGTGGCGAAGTTTCAGGTTGTTGGCAATAGCAGCTGGTGTTGCCTTAGTGACCTCAGGAAGACGTACATAGGAGTTGTAGATATTGGTGGAAGTGAAAGCCTGAAGCATCCACTTGAAATACTTGGTGATTGTGTTGTTTGAACATTGAAAGTGTTCAGTGAGATGGCAGGTAGATAGACCAGTGACGCAGGCATACAGAAAGCTGGCAGTTTGTTCCTCCAGCATGACATGCTTGGAGTCAGTATACCTGTGACTCTGCAGAAAATCAATAAGCTTTACAAATACTTCTCACCACATCCCCAACTCAGTCCTTATTCGATCAGGATGACCGTCTATTAATTCTATAACCCATCCATAACCCGTCAGAATTGAGTTATAATATGGCTTTGACCGTGGTTGCTGCTCTTGCTCCTCAGCAACAGCTTGAGCTGTTGCAATGATTGACTGAACAAGGATTCACATGAATCTCAACATCTGCAGGCCATATGAGAGGATCTATTGTTTAGTCAAGCCAATCTGTGAGTAGGATGGGGCTTGATTTTCGTCCTCTGTTTCTGGACTATGAATTTCTTCTATTTTGTCCATGCGATTAGAATCAGACTCAATATTGAGCTGCAAGACAAAACTTATAATAATGGCTGGTAGCGCTAACTAGGGGTATGTGCAAGAACTTCACGGTCTGTGTATCTTCATTCTCCACTCTAATTGGGAGGAGCTAGGCCAAAGCAAAAAATTGATTTTTTTGAAAAGTGAGAGTTCCTGTACAAGCCCTAAGAACTCTGTTTTTCCTGAAATTCCTTTTTTTTTCCAGCCACAATCTGCTGGAATGTTGGAGAGACGGATAGGAATCCATCCCATGAGCCTATGGATGGGTAGGTATCATACTTCCATCAACTTCATGCCTAGAGCAAAAAAATGCAAGGCCTCCAGCCCAACCCTAGCCCCAGTTCCTTCACCAAAACAACTGCGACATTCTACCAGGATGAATCAAGACCTCCAGCCTACTCAGGACGTATCTACCAAGGTTGCAATGGACATTTAAGAAGTGACAATATATATGTTTGAGTTATAATTCCAGGCGCCCAAGATAGTAGTAGCAACAATGCCATTTGGACTGAAGCAGAGACATCAGGCCTTATCCAGTTCATCACCACCAACAGTGCAGAGGACAGGGACAGTTTGAATTTCAAGCCTGGGTTTTGGCCTAAGGTTGCGTTACATTTAGTTCCTCTTCTTAGTAAGGGACCAGCAAAGACCGCCACTTTCTGCAGTTCAAAGTGGGGCAGGGTACATTATCTAATCTATCAATCACTGATTGTCAACCTCAAGGTTTACAGCTTCGTACAAAATACTGTTACGCACGAAGTGCTTAACAAAGTCTGAGGGTTCGTCGAGGTTTATAAAGAGACTTATCCGAAGACAAGTTCGAGAATGTAGTTCTGAGTGGAGGTTTTCCAACGGGAGTTGGTCTTCTTCTGAATAGAAGTCTGATCTTAGGAGTCTAGCTTTGTAAGCGTAAACTGCGTAGAATCGTATTAGAGAATGCTACTGCTGTTACATGGTATTTATAATGGAAAGGAATTGGTGATAGGAGTTAGGTCCTATCTAGGGCAGGTCCGTCTGTTGAGGACTAAGTACTATAATAGGTACTGTGAATGCGAGAGGAACGGAAGTGTACGTGAAGGAAATGAGTCATCAGTCCAATGGTATAACCGATGAGTAAAAAGAAATGAGTAGTCCTTAAATGTCCAATAGAGATCGTAACAAATACAACTTAGTGAAGCCTATCACCAACTTGTCAGGCATTCCTTGGGATGATGAGCTAGGTCTTAATATACTTGATGAAGGAGAAACGGTTTGGAAGGAACTCATTACAGTATTATAACAACCAAAGTTTGTATGCTCTGGTGCACAGTGAAGACAGGCAAAGAGGGGTTGTAAGGACCATTCACTTTTCCCTACCTTTTCATTCCATGTCTTGGTTTTCAGACACTTTCCCCATTACACCTCTGGCTTTAGGGCTAGAGGTGTCCTTTGCCATTTTACTTCTCATAGCCTTAACAGGTTTTCTCAACCATCAATACCATTTCATATTGCAGATCAGAGACTGGGTAGCACTCCCAGCCAGCCGGCACAATGGGTAAGGACTGGTAGTAGAGATCTCGCCAACCAGCTCCAAGCCGCATCAGTGCCTGGATATATTGATAAACACTTTTGTCAGTATTGTACCTAGCTATATAATATTATACTGGTGCTATGTGTGCTCAAACTTATAGTACTATGAGAGCTATAATAGTATTTATAGTAATGCCTCTGCTTGTGAGGAATCGATTTTTCTTATTGCATTCCCATCATGTTGTGGTTATCTGATTCATTCCCTGTCACTCCTCTCACTCTTGGACTAGAGATTACAGCCGGCATTCTATTACTTTTATCCTGTTTCTTCTTATTCTCCATTCATACTCACGTTCTATTGTACTTACAACGAAGGAGAACTGTTGTAGACCCTCGAGAAGATATTTAGATGACATAGCAATAATCCAATGCTATGTCTGGGAATACTTTGGAGGGATATTGATAAGCAAGGAAGGCTATGAGTCAGTGCCTTCTCATGGGTTTACTGATACAGCCAATTACACCTCTTACCAATACTTTCTCTCATGCAATTAGTAAATACGATAGATCGAACCACTTTCCTTTCTTTTTTTATTGGTTAGTTAATTGGTCAGACCATTGTTGTTCATTATATAAGGAAGTACATACTCAATGTATTATTCCTTAGTTCAATATTAGTTTAGATTCAGACTTCTTCTCTAATCCCAAGGTAAGATACAGGGGTTTGTATAGTAAAAGAAAGGTAGGCTATGCACAGTATAGCTGTGCAAAAAGAATGGGAAAAACATGCAGGAAGGAATGTACGCTAACAAATCCTGCATAGGTAGTACAGGATAAGATTGTCAAAATAAGGAAAAGAAAGGGATAGAACAATAAATGCTGTGTAAATAATGTCACAGGTTTGTACAGCCATAAAGTAAAGTCCAATAGCAGAAAGAGAGCAAGAAAATTACAATGTTATGAGAAGATGCAGTAAAAAAGGGCAAGGCAAAAAAATATCAGTATCAACACAGTTCTTTTATTGTCAGTCAGGCATTCTAAAAAAATATGTGTCCATAAAAATGATTCAAAAATCAAAATTAACTGCACTGCAAATGAATATTCTGCTGAAAAAAAAGGAACTGGAGCCACCGGTCCACCACCTAGTCCAAATCTGATGGTTCCATGGCCTTACCAATGGACTGATTGTATTGGACCACCTGGTCAAATGAGGGAGGGAGGGGAGTAGTTCCAATCTGGAACAGATGAGTCCCAGGCAGCGTGTGGTAGGCGTAGCTGTAGCAAAGACGATGGACGAAGGATAAATGTACACAAGTGAATGGGACAGCAATGTACATAGGCGACACAAAGGGATGAACCTTCTCCAGCAACTTTTGGGACCACTGTCCCCTTTGTTATAGATTCCACGTGGCACTGTGCCTGTGTGGCGCAAAGGCAAGTCTTTTGAATATTCACTTCATTATTGACACCTGTTCATGCTACCAATCAACTTTGGTGCATGACACCGCTTTACTCTTCAGCAAAACCTTGAGTCTACCCTTCATCTTTGACTTGCTATAACTCTAGCATCTGTTACGATAACACATTTTCGGACCTTTAATTTTCATTCTCCTCTTTAATCTTTTACTGTAGTTTTCACACACTGTGCCATGCGGCACTTTCCTTTTTGTTCAAACTCCTCTTTCTCGCACTGCGCTGCCTTTATTCTTATTTTAGCTACAAGTCTCTCACGCAGTGAAGCTGGTCACATGGGCTGTGCCCTCTGACATCATCAGCCACTGCTTATAAGTACAAACACTCTGTATTAGTATATAAACCCCAATAGATCCAGGAGACTCCTCAGTGAGTCCTCCTGTTGTATACCCACAACTAACTCGGTCCTACCTAAGGGGGTAACCACTACCTTTATAGTTTGTTTTAGTGTGCACCAGAGTATCTAACTCTTGGTTGTTACAGCATCTATCGATCTCAAGACTCACTACACCTCTTACACCCTGCAAGTGCAGTCGGAGATAGGTTTTGTTTTGTTATGATTTAGTGTTGCCTCACAAGTCTTAGATTGTGACAGAATGCCATAAACACTGTCCATCTGGTGAATTTGCTTAACATTGAGCACACCATGCTTAATACCAGGAGATGTGTTGGCAGTAGTCAATGGTGGCCCTTGGTGGTGAGATTTCAGGAAGCAATTTTTTGTTTGTTCTACCACACCCAAGACTCCATCTGTAAACAAAAAATCATGAGTCAAGTGCACGCTAAAGCAGTCTAATGATTTGCATTTAGCTGCAATGCAGGAAATACTATAAACACCAGGATCAAAATCAGAAGTGACTTTGGAAAAAATCAATGGAAATAAAAACACTGTCCAGAATGGCATCCTAAATGATCACCCTTCTTGTGCCTTGACTATGGCCAAAGCTACAAGTTGAAAGGCAACTTATCAAGAGTTTAATTGTGTAGCAGTAGCCGAGGGATGATGTCACTATATGTTGCACATAGTTACCACTCATGATCTCGCATCATTCGTCCCTCCCCTATCTCTGCTCCCGAGTCGGACGAATATATGTAACCCGGGCAGATAGCGCTGAAACGCGGCAATGGTGTGACGGAAAGAATGCGGGGTAGTGATTGCTGGTTTGATAGGAGTGGGTGATGGTGTGAATGGCAGTGTGGGGGAGATGTTTCGAGTGAATGCGGTGGGAGCTAAAGATGTTGCGACCGTTATACATACGATTTGGATATTGGAGTGGTATGGAAAGGGAGAGGAGGTTGGCGACGGAGATGAAGAGAGATAGGGTTAGAGCTAACCATAAATAGACATGAGGAGGTATATTAGAGCAAGAAAACGAGTCGTCTCTCACTGAGTCGTCTTGTCCATTTATAGCTCGATCTAGATTCATTCCGTTGTTTTCCGGAGAGACACACGCAGAGGACGACATTCTCTGCTGAACACCATGAGCTCCTCTCCCTCTCCTCCTGCCCCGACTCCCTCCCAGCGCCCCTCCACAGCCCACGCCTCCTCCACACCCCGCCCCATAGCCACCACCACCTTCGTCCTCCCCGTCTCCCCACGACACACCGACGACCTCACAAGACCCTCCACCGCCCACGCCCCCCTCCCACACTCCCGCTCCCACTCCCAAATCGGCTACCCACCCATCTCATACGCCTACCCCGCACACGCCTACGGGCCCTACTCCACCTCTGCCTCTGCCCGCACCTCCTTCACCCGCGTAGAGGACTCCATAGGGCCCTATCCCCTCTTGGGTGCTGGTGGGCGCGACAGCGTTTATGGCGGCGAGGAGTATGTCGAGAGCGAGGGTGAGGACGTCGATGGAAGGATAGACGACGTAGATCCCCAACTCCCTCACTCCGCCTCTCCCTCCCCTCTCCCTCAAGTCACCATCACCACCACACCACCCGTCTCAGCACCAGCTCCCACTTCCCCAATCCCCCAAACGCCCGCTACCTTCCTCACCTTCCTCCTCCTATCAGGACGACGTCGCTCCATGTCCTTCGAGCCCGAGACGACAGTAGGCAGAGTGAAGGAGCTTGTCTGGAGTGGCTGGGGAGCGGGTGAGTGCTCGCTTCTTTTGACTTCGTCCTTTTTTTATTCGCTCTTGTGGTTTGGTTTTGGGTGGGGAAGTAGTTTTTTTAATATGATGCATAGTGTCTTGGTTGCCTAGCGAAATCGCAGTGGGCTTATTTTCTTTGTCCCTCTGATTTTTAGTTACTCTTTTCATAATTTGGATCTGGTTTCAATGTTGCTGACTCTCTTTTTCGCATATTCCTCTCCCCTTCGCCGGATCTCACATCGAATTAACCCGACACGTCACACCATTCAAATCAACTCAAATCGATGGCCCTCCCCAACCCACTCACCAAACCGATCAACTCCCCACCATGTTATCAAAAACTCGCAAACCGTCCACCTCGAACCCCCAAAACGAAACTAACAAAAAAAGCAGACTGGCAAGAAGAACGACCGCCTGCGCCTTCCTACCTTCGTGTTGTGTATCTAGGCAAGATATTACAGGATGAGGATACGCTTAAAGGTAGGTTTCCTCCCTCCCTCTTTCCTTATTCATCATCCTTCCAACCCGTCGCTCACTCGCACCTCACACACAGACCTCAACTTCCCCATCTACACCCCACCCAGCACCATCAATTCCGCCCTCTCCCCCTCCTCCCCCACCTCCCCGACCTCTCCCACTTCCCCCACCTCCCCGCGCTCCCCCACCTCAAACACCCCAACACCCACCATCGTCCACCTCTCCATAAGACCCTACGCCCCTCCCTCCGACGACCTCTTCAAGAAGAAGCGAAAGGCGGCTGAGCGCTCGGATCGTCGGCCTCGGGCTGGGCCTTGGCGTTGGGGTGGGCGACGTGGGGAGGGGAGAGGGCGGGCAGCCGGGGGAGGGCGGGGGGGATGCGGACAGCGCGGGCGGGGGGAGAGTGCCCAGGGATGACGAAGATAAGAAGGCTCCCCCGAGAAATAGTTCCCTTCCGGGGAACTAGAAGTTACCTTTAAAAATTTAGAAGAAGGAGCTGTTATAATTACGAGAGGTACTCTAAAGTGTAGGGAAGTTGCAAAGTGATTCAACAGATTCGATTTTGACTTTCGTGGGCGGATGAAATCATTACCACAGCGATCTATCTTCTAAAACAGTGATGACCCCACAACAGGCGTACACAGAGCTCATACAAGGACTGATGAGCAGA